CTTGAATTATTCACTAAGAAACATTCTGAGTGAGAGTTTTATTAAATTATAGTAGGATCCATGAGGACTAAGGGTCTAGGGCCCCTGTCTTTCTACTAACCCAGCTCAGATCTAAGGAATTATTCCTCCTCCTTGACTGACCTTGCCACCGAATCTGTTTCTACCCCCAGAATACTCCCTTTCTAGACATAAGCATGTAGTAAGACTTCCTTTCCTTGCAGATTCTGCATCTCAGAGTGCAACAGAAAATAATCACTGGACTTCTTCCCTCTGCCAGGACGGTGAGTTCAGTGTGAAGGTCATGACAGCCAGTACATGAGGAAGAAAGGCAGCCAGACCCTCAAATAAAGGTCTGTGATTCTGTGACCTCACTTCCCCTCAGAACTGCAATTATCACTTTACCTGTAGGGTAAATGACAGTAAAGGCTTGCGGAGCTGAGAACACTTCTGAAATTTTGTTTCCCAATTGCTACTTATCAACACCAATGATGACTTTCTTACCTGTGTCTTCAAAGAGACTGCTGCAGTGTTTGGGAAAGGCTCTTACTTTTTCATAATCCCTAGAGGCACACAGGGTCTCATATGGAAGGAGCAAGAAATACTGAGGTCTGACCCATAAAGCACATGCAGAGAGATTTGTGTGTCTCACTCGGTTCCAGGCTTCCTTGAGTTCTTCTACCCATGATCTAGTTAACTCTTAACTTTCAGATGCTTGAGCTATACACAGCTGTGTATTCAGCAGATACACAGAATCAGAAAATGTTACTGAGAAGGACATCTAGTGAAGTAAGTAAAAGCAAGAACACAACATCAATAATTCACATTAGAGGTCACTGGACTTGTTTGTATAATTAAAGGCAAAATAACTTAGAAATGATGATATAGAAATATTCTAGGAAAATGTGCTTCACCAGTATTGACCCCGGAAGGGAAAAGAAATTGAGACAGAAACTTACCCCTAGAAGAAAGAGAGCTGTATAGCATTCTCTCAACGATAAAAGCACCAGCATCAGACAGTTTAACCAGAAGATTACATCATTCTTTTAATTATTACCTAAGCCAACTCTGTATCTCAATTCAACAGCATGGAATGGTTATCAAAATTTGCGACACTTATCTTTGCCAAAAAGTAAGGAGCATTCATTGGTTATGCAATTAAAGAAAACGTGTAAAACGTAACGATCGAAATCAATCCTTTGGATCTTGCAACAGACAAATCCACATTCGACAAGTTCCACTATCCATTCCCTTCACGAGGATTTGTAGGCAAACAAACTGTAGATGGAACTCAGTCTACACAAGGCCATCATTCCTTCTGACAGAATCTGTAAGATTTCAGGTCCCCCAGTTCACCCTCAGTATTGGTGATTCTCTGAAGGACGCACAGGACTCACTGAGAGCTATTTTACTCGCTCTTCTGGTTGTTTATGGGGAAAGGATACAGATTAAAATCAGCAATGGGGAGAAACATAAAGACAGAATCCAGGACTAGTACTAAAAACGCTGAGTTTTCAGTTGTCCTCTCTCCATACTGTCATGATACGTTACTTTATCAGCAGTTATATGAGACAATACTCAAGAATGTTTTCCTTCAGCAAAGCTCACCCAAGCCTTGGAGACCAGAGTTTTTTCCGGAGCTTCAGGGCTTACTGCCTGCCTGGCTGCCCTTAAGTCTACCTCCATCAGAGACTAAGCTGTTACTATGTGACCCAAGGCTTTCATCATAGGGCACATTTTTAGACTGTCTGATGCTCAAGCCTACAGGAAAACAAAAATAATTTCTTCAGGCATGACATTTTAAAAACCTGGGCATCGCTTCAGGTAGGTTAAGGGCGAAGGCCAGACCTCACCTTGGGACTGGTAAATTTTTTGCTACACAGGCCATCTCCAGGTCTCTGCCCACTACTTGTCTTACAGCAAAATGAGTATATTTGTCTGATCTCAAACTCCTGACCTCAAGTGATCTCCCTCCCTCAGCCTCCCAAAGTGCTGGAATTACAGACATGAGCCACCATTCCTGGCTCAGATACTTATCTCTTTACATAATCACAATAATGTTTCATTTTACTTGGGTATCTCAGGCATTCCAGAGACTAGTTAACAACATTGAGCAATCAATGTGAATGGGTCCTGAGGTTAACATCAGATTGTGTCTCTGTGTCAATGCACAATGTGGGATGAGTTTATCAGGCTTTCCCAGTCTCTGCATTCATGACTTCTCTCAATCAGCCAGAGAATAAGCTACAATTGTTTTTTGCTCAATCTTCTTCATTCAGTATATCTGAGCACACCTGAATATACCTGAGTTTCTTTTCCGTGGATTTGTTTTGTTTTGTTTTGTTTTTGAGATGAAGTCTTGCTCTTGTCACCCAGGCAGGAGTGCAAAAGCATGATCTAGACTCACTGCAACCTCCGCCTCCCGGGTTCAAACGATTTTCCTGCCTCAGTCTCCTGAGTAGCTGGAATTACAGGTGCCTGCCACCATGCCTGGCTAATTTTTGTATTTTTAGTAGAGACGGGGTTTTGCCATGTTGGTTAGGCTGGTCTCAAACTCCTGACCTCATGATCTGTCCGCCTTAGCTTCCCAAAGTTTTGGGAGTACAGGTGTGAGCCACTTTGCCCAGTCAAGTGCTGGGATTACAGGCGAGAGCCACCGCACCCAGCCTGGATTTTTGAGACATAAAATGTGACATAACTGATCACTGAAGGCACTATCACATTCACCACATTTATAAGTTTTTTCCTGTCTGCAAATTCTCTGCCATCTCCTGAGGGCACACATGGAGCAAGAGACTGTTCCAAAGAACTATGTTCCTGTTTTCTAGGAGCCCACTGATATTTAATGATATCTGAGGAGTTAGAGGCATTTTAACACAATCGCTGAATAGTTTGCTCTTAAGTATGTTGCTTGAATCAAGAGATAAGTGGAAACTGCCTTTGCAACAGTGAATTTACTGAGGTTTGGGATGTAGGAGAAGTAAGTATGCTTTTAAAAACATACATATATATATATATTTAGATTTTTATTAGATATTAAAGTACAAAGTACCTAATTTGTTGAGAAAGGGCTTGAGAAGGGCAATGTGGAAAACATCAGGACATAAATATTTAAGGATAAAAGACTAGATGAGATCATGTTCAGAGAATGTCAAAACTGCAAAGATAAAGGCCAAGAACCAAGATGTTGGTCACTCAAACATTTGGTTTGGAAAAGCTCACTAGGGTGAACCAAACACTCAACAGGGAAATAAGCAGAATGTCAGATTTTGATTTCAAAATCTGTGACACTCTTAGATGGTCATCCTGTTTCTAAAATGTATTCCTTTTCTTCATTCTGCATCATCAAACTAATTTTCCCAAAGCACCAATCTCACATTTAGAGGGAAATTTATTGTCAATGTCCAATCTTGAGTCTCACTGTGGGCACATTCTCACTGTGCTTCTAAACAAAGAGGGGAAAATGAGAAACAATGATCATTTGGGAATTTGGCCAACAGGCCAACGAACCAGGTATGTAGACCTCTCCAGAAGTAGACGTGCTTCTGAATAGGATAAAACGTGTTACTGAATGGGTGCTGCCGCTGGTGCCCACATGTGTCATCTGTCACCTTCTTCAGTTAGATTTGGCATGTAGTACTTACACAGATGTCACATCTGAATTTTTCCCATTCCGTTGTCCCTAATACACGGATCCCTTGTCTTGTAACTAACGGCATCTTCTATAATTCTACAATTATGTATTGGTTAGCATCACACAAGGGACCTAAGAGACCACCTTCTTCCTTTTAAACCAAGACTCATGTCACCTTTAAATATTTCTTAGAAACGCTGGCTGTTCCGGCCAGGCGCGGTGGCTCAAGCCTGTAATCCCAGCACTTTGGGAGGCCGAGGCGGGTGGATCACGAGGTCAGGAGATCGAGACCATCCTGGTCAACATGGTGAAACCCCGTCTCTACTAAAAATACAAAAAAATTAGCTGGGCATGGTGGCGCGTGCCTGTAATCCCAGCTACTCAGGAGGCTGAGGCAGGAGAATTGCCTGAACCCAGAAGGCGGAGGTTGCGGTGAGCCGAGATTGCGCCATTGCACTCCAGCCTGGGTAACAAGAGCGAAACTCTGTCTCAAAAAAAAAAAAAAAAGAAAAGAAACGCTGGCTGTTCCTTAGTAGTGCATCATTGCTGTCACTGGATGAAAGATAAGACTACCCACAGACTAGAAAAATACAAAAGAAATCTACCCTACCAGCTACCTCAATTACTAACACACAAAATCCAGTCAGTCTGCCAATAAAACTTAATGTTGCTGTGATTACCCCACTTACCCACATTTTCATTTTCATGTGTTTTAGGGAAATATTTGATTACATTTGAAGCCTCATTCCTTTTTCTTTACTACAGGTAACCAGGCACTGTATTCAGTTGCACGTGGGCATTGATCCTCAGAGAGATCATCCCCTTATTTGGCCTCAAGACAATTCTCAGCTAGACTAGACTTGCCCATTCTCTTCTCCATACCTTGAAGGGGATTCAGAACATCCACAAATTTGGTCCACTCTGTGAGCACTGTCCCCCGATTCCCCTTCAGCCAATTCGCCTTTGACACACCTTGACGGTCCTGAAGAGGCTCTCAGAGATACTCCACGATTCCGCCCTAAACTCCCAAGAGATTGTATTTTCTGCTGAACTGAATCCGACGCCCCCTAAGATGAACAGCAGCCACGATGCTTCTTCCTAAGGGCTCAGTATGGCGTAGAGCGCGCTGCCATCTTCTTATTATTTTGCTCATTAAAGTTAAAAGTTTTTATAATTTTCTGATAATTTATTTGGTTTGCGCAGTGACTGAGGTGCCCTGAACCTAATTCCCTGTCTTCCAACGCCGTGGTTAACAGCCCTTCCTTCCGGATTCTCCGGCGGGAGTCGCCGAGATGGGCGTGGCCACATACGTCACAATACGGGGCCGAGGGAGGCCCACATACGTCACAATACGGGGCCGAGGGAGGAGCTTGGGTGTGTGGGAACGTCTGGTTTCCCCGCTCGACGCCGAGGGCCCTCAAAGGCCCTAGCGACGAAGTCGGAGAGAGATGGAAGTCGCTTTGGGTTCAGGTTCAGCGTTTGGTCCCGGTGTTCGATGGAGTCGGGAAGAGACTCAGGATCAGGTGGGTCGGGGTCTGGGTGTGGCTCTAAGTGAAAGGCCTGTGGGGGTTCAGTGCAGGGGAGCCCCTGTTCTGAGACCATGTGGAACCTCGCCTCCTGGGGTTCTGTCTGGGTTTACCCAGTGGAGAAGCCTGGCTTTGGTGATAGGGCACTTAGCGGTCAGTGGTTAAGAGACTGGAAGATATTAACGATCGAAAGGCCAACTGTGGAAGTTTATGGTCGTTGAGGGAATGCAGTGGGAATCAGTGGTTGAGAAACGGGGTAGAAAAGTGTGTACTAATGAATGGATTTGGTGTCCAAATCGGATTTGCAATTGAATGTGATAGAGAAGCCTGGGGCTGGAGGTTTTAGTGAAAGGTTTCAGATTTAATTTGGAGTCAGTGTTTGAGGAGGCCTGTATGTGTCTTTGGTTTAGGGGCCTGAGGAGGCTGGATCTTTGGAGGCCTAAGGACCCCAGAGAGTAGGTGGGTTGAGGCTTAATAATTGACTGCTGATTACAGTTGTAATTAAAGCTACATTTACCTAGTGGGTCTACATCCAGTTCAGTTCAAGTCCAAGTCCGTCTTAAAAAAACAATAACAGGCCGGGCGCGGTGGCTCAAGCCTGTAATCCCAGCACTTTGGGAGGCCGAGGCGGGTGGATCACGAGGTCGAGAGATCGAGACCATCCTGGTCATCATGGTGAAACCCCGTCTCTACTAAAAATACAAAAGCTGAGGCAGGAGAATTGCTTGAACCCAGGAGGCGGAGGTTGCGGTGAGCCGAGATCGCGCCATTGCACTCCAGCCTGGGTACCAAGAGCGAAACTCCGTCTCAAAAAAAAAAAAAACAATAACAAACATTTGCCTTCCTTTATCATCATTCATATCATTGTCTACAAACTTCTGGACGCTACTAAAATCGAATTTTTTTCTCTCTAGTACCCAACTTTACCGTGTCTTTTTCATATTTTCTTTCAGATTTATTCTGACACAAGAAAAAATTTCTATTACCCACATTTCTGATTCTTATTGAAGACCTTTTTTTTTTTTTTTTTTTCCAGTTTCATCCTACAGTTTTCACAATTGCAATACTTTGGGTAAATATTTGATTTCATCACTTAAATTCTCATCACAAACATACATACATGTAGGTATGTATATATATCTCCATAAGTCTCTCTCTATATACATCTATCTATCCATCCATCCAGTATGCAATCATCCATCCATCCAATAACTAAAGAGGCCAGGTGTCATGGCTGAAGCCTGTAATACCAGCACTTTGGGAGGCCAAGTCGGGAGGATCACTTATGCCCAGGAGTTGGAGACCAGCCTAGACAACATAGTGAGACCTTGCCTTTACAAAAAAAATACAAATTAGCAGGGTGTGGTGGCATGCACTTGTAGTCCCAGCCACTCCTGAGGCTGAGGTGGGAGGATGACTTGGCCTCAGTAAGTCATGATCAGGTCACTGCACTCCAGCCTGGGCAACAGAGCATCACCCTGTCTCACACAATAAAAACAAACAGCTGTTTAAATTTTCAAAATTACTAAATAATGCAGTTACCGTTTGGCTTAATAAAACGTCAGCTACAATTTTTATGAAGGTGAGGGGCGATATGCCTTTTGAAAGAGGCAACCTGGAATTGAGTATCCGGTTAAATTTATTTAGCTGGGATGCCAACTTCTTAAAGGTGAATTCAACATCAGGTCCCAAGGACAGGCCTGGGCAGCCCAATAGTGCACCCTGATTTATGTGTTCAGAGAGTAAGATGCTACGACTGCTATGATAGGATGTACAGATTCACAAGACAAGAAGTAGACAGAATCTGAAGTCTAGATTGAAGAAGAGTCCATTTCTTATATTCTTAACTGCAGAGCATCTGTACTGAATCCATCCTGTTACCGGCCACTACTTTACGTTTAGTTCATCAGTGTATCCTGTGTATACAGGTGCCTGCCACAGTACAAATGCTCAAAGACTATTTGTTGTAATCACCCAATAACCCAGAGTTTGGGTTTCAATTGTGAGGCAGCCACTTTAAGGCAAATTTCCACTTTATTTTTCCTTGTAAACAGGACTGTTTCTAACGTGAATAAATCTTTATTAGATTAAAGGAAGGAACTCTGAGTATAGGAGAGAACAAGGGTCTCAACCCTAGGTGAGAAGGAATGATGAAGGTAAATCGTATGTTCCAATTGAGCATATCACAGAGGAGCTAGGATCTTTAAAACAGTGGCAACTCTCCAAGGTGACAGACCTATAGACAAATTCAAGGGTTCTTATGTAAAATATCCAAAAGGATCTCGCCTTTATTCATCTTACATGCTGTCCTTTATTTTTAGAGAATGAAGTTATTTTGTTTTTTTAATTGGGCTTATTCTGTGAATCCTATTCCTTCTCTGTTCTGCCCCTCATGACAGAAATGAGGTTCTGTTCAGGATTTAAAAAAAAATTTTTTTTTAGAATAGTACGAATCCTTAGAATTTCTTTCTGGTAGCTCCTTTTCTTCAATGACAAAAGTAGTTCTGATCAACTGTCCACTGGGTTATTCAGGCACCTTCATTCATCTTCCCAATCTACATATAATTAATTTCTATTTTGGTATCTGCTAGGGTGTATACAATTGCCTATACAAACTATCACGAATTTATAATTTAGGTAGAGATAAGACATGAACACTTTTGAGAAAAGTATTCATAACCTGTTTTATGTAAGGAAAATTGAGTCTTTTCCTCTTCCCACTCCAAATAATAATATGTACCTTGAATAAGAAATTATCAGGACAACTTGATCTTTACATTATATGTCTTTTTCAATTCATACAGGCATATGCATTTTTAAACTACAGTTGCTGGAGGCATATGCATTTTTAAACTACAGTTTCAACTGATACAGGCATATGCATTTTTAAACTACAGTTGCATGTATAAACTATACATGCATATAATCCAGCTTTTTAAAAATGCTGGCTTGAAATTTTGTTGTTTCCCACTGCCATCATCCACAGTTCCTAGATAAAGGAAACTGTTTCAGGTAAAGAAAATGGATCATACAAACTATTCCGAATGGCGCGTATGCCAACAATAAGACAAACCATAGGGTTAGGATTAGGACTACCTTCTAAATTAAGAGCATGGCCAATCATAAGTTTTGAACTTAATTCCTCTGGGGTGATATTTCTAAAGTTAAACACATCCAAACTTGTGTTACATTATTAAATACATATTTCCTTTTGAAGAACTTCAGTAGTCTGAAATAACAAGTGAAGAAATCTAGAATCAAAGAAACACAAGAGCTAATCATATAATGATCTTGGCTGGGAATAGAAAATTCATGCCAAAAATGGGGGAAGGGGCACATTGTGTTATAAGTTTAACCAATTATGTGTAACACTGACAACCCGTTAATTAGTCATTGACATATCAACTAGTGATTCAAGGTATATTGTCTTAAAAAACACATCTTGTATATTATCTGCTGTATAATGATGTTAGATTTTCACAGGGCTTATTTGCTTCATGTGGTCTTTCATATTTTGCTGAAGATGTTCTGGTTACTATTTTCACAGTTTTATTTCTATATTATTTTCTCTGAGGATAAGGCAGAATGTACCACTAGCAACCCTGCCACATTCATAGCCTTCAGAGGTCTTCCAACAGTTCCTCCCTTATGTAAAGCCTCTGATACCTACTGGGGTATTATTTCTGAACAAGGACTTTTCCAAGATCATTATATTTCTACCAACTATAAGCTCACTGATGATCACTAATGAGAGGCTCTATCTTCCCATAAAAGACTTTCCCAGTCTCTACCTCATACTAATTTTCTCTGAGTATGTGCTTATCAGCCATAAGATTTTACTCAAGGGCTTTCCACCTTGAATGTATCACAGTTTGTTCCTGTGTGTGTTTTGTGACATATGATGTAATTGATCACTGAAAGCACTACCACATTCACTGCATTCATAAGGTTTTTCTGCTGTGTAAATTCTACTATCTGCTAAGAGTGAACTTCTGGCAACAGGCTGGCTCACAATGGCTACTTTGCTATCTGCTTGGAACTCACTGTTACTTAATGAAGTCTGAGCTGCCACAGAAGGCATCTACACAGTCACCATGTTAACAGAGTCTTTATCCTGTATGAGATCACTTGTAGGTGATGAGCTATGATTTTCTGAGACAGGATTTTCCAATTTGACTAAACCTACACATTTCTCTCTTGCATGCAGCATTCCCTTATGATAAACTAGGCATGACAAGTGAGAGAAAGCTTTCCCACAATCAGAGCATCCATAGGGTCTCTCCCCTGTATGAGTTCTTCGATGTCTATTGAGACATGATTTATCTCTGAAAGCTTTCCCACAGTCACTGCACGTGTAGGGCTTCTCTCCTGTGTGAATTCTCTGGTGGTTAATGAGACCCGACTTGTGTGAGCAGGATTTTCCACACTCAGTACATACAAAGGGTGTCTTTCCTGTGTGAAATCTCTGATGGGATATTAAGCATGTCTTCTGGCTGAAGCCTTTACCACATTCGTTGCATATGTAGGGTTTCTCACCAGTGTGAGTACGTTGATGAATGAGGAGATTGCCCTTTTGGATGAAGCCTTTTCCGCATTCATTGCATATATAGGGTTTTTCTCCAGTATGAGTTCGCTGATGTACAATGAGATTTCCCTTCTGAATGAAGCCTTTTCCACAGTCACTGCATATATACGACTTCTCTCCTGTGTGAGTTTTCTGATGTGCATTGAGCTGTGATTTCCAGCGGAACACTTTGTCACACTCAGTGCATTCATAGGGTTTCTCCCCTGTATGAGTTCGCTGGTGTTCGGTGAGCCTGGACTTTCTGGAGAAGGCTTTCTCACACAGGCTGCATCCATGTGGTTTCTCTCCTGTATGAACTCTCTGATGATTAATGAGCCGAGACTTCTTGATGAAGCCTTTTCCACAGTCACTGCATACATAAGGTTTCTCTCCTGTATGTATTTTCTGATGTGCAGTGAACTGTGATTTCCAGCGAAATGCTTTGTCACAGTCAGTGCATTCATACCGTCTCTCTCCTACATGAGTTTTCTGATGTTCAGTGAGCCTGGACTTTCTAGAGAAGGCTTTCCCACATATACTGCATCCATGAGGTTTCTCTCCAGTATGAACTCTCTGATGATCAATGAGGCGAGACTTCTTGAGGAAAGCCTTCCCACACTCAGTGCATTCATGGAGTTTATCTATCTTTTGAGTTTGCTGATGCTTAATGAATTGTGAATTTGTATTCACAGAATTTCCACATTTGGGGAAGTTCATTTCAGGATAAACTTGTTCATGCTTGGCATGAAGGAAGGATTTTCCACCTCCATTAACCTCAACAGAATTCTTGATTTCATACCTTTTGTTCTGGTTGACTAAACTTAAATTTGATTTCAATATTTTCCCATGTAAGTCAAATGTATCATGATTTTGCCTTAAAGGAAAATCACTTTTCCTCTGATGAATGTTGTTTCCAAATGCATTATGTTTATGGCATTGTTCCACTCCCTTCAGACATCTTTGGTTTTGTGAGTGCATCTGTAAATGACTGTCAACTCTCTTGATTTCTAGGGAAGAAGAGAACAATACACCTTTCCATGAGCATGGAAAAGAACTACTTCATAAACAGCTTTGCACAGGCTGGCTCTACTGACCACACTATTACCACGGTTTCAAAAAACTCCAAGTAGATGTGCTCACTGTCACTTGGACAAGAACAAACCATTATAAGTTAAAGAAAACAAAAGGTAAAAGCAGTCAGTGTATAAACAAGGTAAGTTTCTCGGGAAATGGTAAGTTAATTCCTGGTCAGACTCATGCCAGAAACCTTATCATCATCTTTCATTTGTATGTTTCTCTCATACCCTTGTCTACTTCAATAGGAAATTCCGTATGTCCTCCTTCATAAATATACAGTAATCCCTCCTTACCTATGGGTGATATGTTCGAAGACCCCCTCCATAGATGCCTGAAACTCTGAATCATACTAAACCCTCTATCTGTTATGTTTTTTCCTATACAGTGCATACATACCTATAATGAATTTTAATTTATGAACTAGGCACAGCAAAAGATTAACAATAACAAATAATAAAATAGAAGAATTATAACAATAGGCCAGCATCGCACTCTTGAGCTTTGGAGGCATTACTAAGTAAAACAAAGGTTACTTGAACACAAGCACTGTGATACCTTCACAGTTGACCAGATAACCAAGATGGCTACTAAGTGACACAGGTGGGGAGGGTATACAGCATGGATATGCTGGATAAAAAAGTGATTCTTGTCCCAGGATGGAACAAGATGGTGCAAGATTTCATACTCCTTGGAATGGTGAGCAATGTAATTAAGAATTATTTATGCCAACAGCTGGCCGCGGTAGCTCAAGCCTGTAATCCCAGCACTCTGGGAGGCCGAGGCGGGTGGATCACAAGGTCTAGAGATCGAGACCATCCTGGTCAACATGGTGAAACCCCGTCTCTACTAAAAATACAAAAAAATTAGCTGGGCATGGTGGCGCGTGCCTGTAATCCCAGCTACTCAGGAGGCTGAGGCAGGAGAATTGCCTGAACCCAGGAGATGGAGGTTGTGGTGAGCCGAGATCGCGCCATTGCACTCCAGCCTGGGTAACAACAGCAAAACTCTGTCTCAAAAAAAAAAAAAAAAAATTATTATTTATGCCAGGGATGGTGGCTAATACCTGTAATCCCAGCACTTTGGGAGGCCGAGGCAGGTGGATCACCTGAGGTTGGGAGTTTGAGACCAGACTGACCAACATGGAGAAACCCTGTCTCTACTAAAAGTACAAAATTAGCCGGGTGTGGTGGTGGGTGCCTGTAATCCCAGCTACTCAGGAGGCTGAGGCAGGAGAATCACTTGAACCCAGGAGGCAGAGGTTGCAGTGAGCTGATATTGTACCACTGCACTCCAGCAGCCTGGGCAACAAGAGCAAAAAAAAAAAAAAAAAAAAAAAAAAAATTGTTTATTTCTAGAATTTCCCATTTAACATTTTCAGACCATAGTTGACCGCAGGTAACTGAAACCATAGAAAGAGAAACTGTAGATGAAGGGTGACTCCTATATTCTGAAACTGACTAAAACTCACCCCCTCTATCTAGGTGTAAGATAATCACTCTGTCTGGTACTATAGCAATAGCCTCCCAAGTGGATTTCAGGCTTCAACCTCTTCTCCTATATGTTTTCTACAAAGTAGTCAAAGTGATCCTTTTAAATATAAATTGCATCATGTCACTTTTCTACTCAGAACTCCCTCATATTTCCTCATCTCAAAATTTTTAAAAAAATCAAGTCATTAAAATGTCCTTGAAAGGTCATACATGACTTGTCTACCTCAAACTGTAGATCCCATCACACTGTCCTTACCTCCATATTATCTCCAACCACTGCCCCTCTTGTTCACTCCTCTGTATTTACCCAGGCTTCCTTGCAGTTCCTCAAACACACACCTGCCTTGGGTCTTTGGACCTGCTCTTTTGTCTACCTGGAAGGTAATTCACCCGAGGGACATACTCACATCTCTCATTTAGCTGCCCAAAGGCATCTCACCAAAGAGCCATTCCCATTCCCAGCATCCCTCATTATGCTTTGTTATTGATCTTCCCAGCATTTTTCACAAGACATTTATCTATTCTGATCAATTTCATGCCTCTACCTTTTAGCAGGTAATCTCCAAGAAGAATTTTGTGGTTGTTATTGATGTTCACAGTTGTCAGGGCCCATATGTAATAGGCTATCAAAAAATGTTTAAGGCAATGAAACAAGAAAAGTTTCACGTGTATAGGACACATTGGGAAAGACTACTGCATGTGTAGTGCTTTAAATATAGTTGGCTTTGAATTTAAGAAAAGGAAAGGAAACTCTGTGTGGGCAAGATGATACTGTATCATGGTGATTCAACTAGAATATCACTTGACAAAAGAGAAATTTCCATCTTACATGACTGCTCTGATTCACAGGGACTTAGTGCCATCAGACGATGGTAAGAACAGAAAAACTTTAAGGAAATAAGTCTAGCATATAATTTAAGAGAAACTAAATAATGGTATGATAGAATATATTGTTGGGAAGAACGAAAGAAAAAGAAAACAAAAAAAGAGAAACTAAATAATGGGCAGAATTAATGATTCCGAAAGGAAATTGAAGCAAAGCAGTCATGAGGTTTAGTGATCTGGTTTGGGTTGGAAACAGAATGAGAATTCTTCAAAAATCAACTGAAAGCACAAAGACTTTAAATAAGGGAGCTGAGGAGGCAGAGAAGTTTCAAGGTAACCCTACAGTGGTCAGGATCAACTCAAGGAATTGACATGCAAGTGGGTAAAAAATATAGTAGAAACATGTAAGTTAGGAAATATTAAGGGAGATGTCAATCTGAGAGTCTCCATAGAAAACAAGAACTTGCCGGGCGCAGTGGCTCAAGCTTGTAATCCCAGCACTTTGGGAGGCCGAGGCGGGTGGATCACGAGGTCGAGAGATCGAGACCATCCTGGTCAACATGGTGAAACCCCGTCTCTACTAAAAATACAAAAAATTAGCTGGGCATGGTGGCACGTGCCTGTAATCCCAGCTACTCGGGAGGCTGAGGCAGGAGAATTGCCTGAACCCAGGAGGCGGAGGTTGCGGTGAGCCGAGATCGCGCCATTGCACTCCAGCCTGGGTAACAAGAGTGAAACTCCGTCTCAAAAAAAAAAAAAAAAAAAAAGAAAACAAGAACTTAATTCATTAGAATGAAGGAAACTTTTAAAGAATATGAGAACAGAGCAAAATAAATGGAAAACAGAACCTCTGGAGGACCTCGGAATGGGAGAAAAAAGAGAAGCGAAGGAAGCATATATACACAAAGCAACAGACCACGTCACTAAGCAGGCACAGGGTCCAAGATAGGGTGGGAAGATCTTAGGGGAAAAAAATCAACATTATCTAAAGGGGCAGAAAGGTACAGTGGTCAGGAGAGAGTGCTGAGATCCAAGGTTGTTCTTTGGAGACAGTCATGGAAGGAGGAAATTCACAGCAAGGGAAGTAGAAGGAACAGGTAGTGATGCTCTGATGGGGGAACAAGAAATGATGAGATTTCAGAATCCTAAAAAGGAAGATACCCTGAGAAAGACAAATCAAACAGATTAAATAAAGAGTGATGAGAGGCTGGATGTGGTGGCTCACACCTGTAATCCCAGCACTTTGTAGGGACCGAGGCAGGTGGATCACCAGAAGTCAGGAGACTAGCCTGGTCAACTTGGTAAAACCCTGTATCCACTGAAAATACAAAAAATTAGCTGGGCATAGTGGCAGGTGCCTGTGATCCCAGCTACTAGGGAGGCCAAGGCAGGAGAAGTGCTTGAACCCGGGAGGCAGAAGATCAAGTGAGCTGAGATCACAGCACTGGAATCCAGCCTGGGGGCCAGAGTGACATTCTGCCTCAAAAAAATAAAAAATAAGCAGTGATGAAATCCAAGAGGAGATAAAGAGGTAGATGTTCCTCTACACACCTGAAGGAAAAAGAACTTTTGTATGAGGAGTGGGATACATGGGGGCTCCGTCCACACAGCCTCCGATTCCCTCACAGCTCACACACCGCTGAACAACTATCATGTGACTTGCTCAGCCACCCTCCTTGCTGGCTCTCAACCTGAACTCACCTGGACAGATTTGGCTGTGGATTTCATTTTCTGTTGTCCATGGTTCTCCTTGTTCTAACTTGGAGAGCGCATCTGGCTTGCCGGCTTGATACCCTGTTCACAGGAAATGACAACTTGGGCTCACTGAATTGAGCTGTGGTATATCAACGTGGGACCATGTGTTGTTTTGGGAATGATATAATTTATGTGCCTGTAAAGCAAAGGGATTTTCTCTCTAAAGGGGACACATTATCCTCTTTTATCTGGGGCCAGGGAGGGGACAGAATATACCACTTCAGAGCACCACAAGCCCTTGAGAGCTTCTGAAAGCCAGAAAAGCAAAGGCCTTTGATTGGGTACCCTCTGAGGGACACAGGGCAGCTTTCCTCACCCACTGACACCAGGTTGCTATAGTTCTCTAACATCACGTCCCGATACAGGTCCTTCTGAGATGCGCCCAGGAGCTGCCACTCCTCCCAGGTGAACTCCACAGACACATCCTCCAGAGTCAGTGATTCCTGTAATAAGAGAGTCCTGCTTAGTATGAAGTGTTTCTCTTTTATTCATATGCAAGAAATGTGAAGGACACTGTTCTGCTCATTTTCACCAAATAGTCTGCATCTGTATATCTAGGTGCTATAAAAATATACATTGTGATAGAAGCAAAATTTATCTCCAAAATCTATCTATATTCAAAATCTATCTCTAGCAAAATGTTCTGTAACTGTGTAATTATCCATCATTTAACAGATCAGATGTTCCTATAAGAACTGATTATTTAATCCTCTTGCTAATCCTCTTTTCTTTTTGAGCACATATTTGCCAGGCACTAAATATATTTTAGCAATATCAGGATGAATAAAGCATATTCCTTTATTTGCCATGAATCTTCAATGAATTTTGATATGCACTATCAGAATCAACCAGGAAGAAACCCCAGACACTACAAGATATTACATGACAAATAAGTATATTTTATATGTTAGGAGGAATAAAAGAATCTTTCCAAACATGTCCAAAGAACAAGAGACAGTTAAGTATTATTACCCACTACTGCTAAACATGACTGGCTTAAAAAATAAATAGGCCAGGTGTGGTGGCTCAAGCCTGTAATCTCAGCACTTTGGGAGGCCTAGGTGCGCAGATCATCTGAGTGGTGAAACCCCATCTTTACTGAAAATACAAAAATTAGCTGAGCATGGTGGTGCATGCCAGTAATCCCAGCTACTCGGGAGGCTGAGACAGGAGAATTGCCTGAACCCAGGAGGTGGAGGTTGCAGTGTGCCAAAATTGTGCCACTGCACTCCAGCCTGGGTAACAGGCTCAAAAATAAATAAATAGATAAATAACAATAAAATACACAGATCAATAATTTTTAAAAATACTTAATATTATTCGAAAACCATACACACACATATAGTTTTTAAAGTGTTTATATTTACATTATCAGGCATGTTAGCAGCATAACTGAAGAGATCTACTTACAGTGAATTGGTAAGCAGATCTGAAAAAACTACTGAAGATGCAGCCAAAGGACAGAATGGTACAATATATAAAAGACAGATCAATAAAGACAGAGGCGAGGTGAGGTCTAGTATTTACTCATTTTGTTTGTGAAAGAGAACATACAGTAATGAAAAGGTACTATCCAAAGATCTAAGGGCTAAGACAGATACATCTCTAAATATATATACATACATAGAAATATATGCAAACATGTATACATGTATGTTTATTCATGTGTCACTTAATAACAAGGACACAATGTGCGAAATGCATCATTAGGCAATTCTGTTCAACCATCCCAGAGTGCACTTACTTAAACCTAGATGGGACAGGATATTACATGCCTAAGCTCTACGGTATACCAGGCTATAAACCTATACAGCATATTGCAGTACTGAATATTGTAGGGAATTATAACACAACGGTAAGTACTCATGTATCTAAACGTATCTAAATATATTAATAGAACAGATACAGTAAAATATTGTATAAAAGATAAAAAAAATGGGGCTGGCCATGGTGGCTCACACCTGTAAATTGCAGCACTTTGAGAGGCTGAGGCAGGACTGCTTAAGCCTAGGAGTTTGAGGTTATAAGCTGAATAGCCCCACTGCAGTCCAGCCTGGGCAATAGAGTGAGGCCCTGTCTCTAAAATTAAAGATAAAAAATGGTACATCTGTACAGGGCATTTATCATAAATAGAGCCTGCAGGTCTGGAAGTTGCTCTGGGTACACTGGTACGTGAATCTGAAGGCCTTGGATGTAACTCTACACTACGGTGGACTTAAAAAATGTGTGTATACTTAAGCTGCACTAAATTAAAAAAAAATAAATTGTGTGCTACAATGTTCCAACTCACTTGGCAATGATATTTTTCACCTCTTTTATAATCTAATGGGACCACTGTCCCATATGTGATCCATCATTGACCAAAACATCATTAGCGGTTCCCTGAAGGCCATCAAGGTCTGGGACATTGTGGGCACTGAGCTGAAGCTGAAGAAGGAGCTCACAGGCCTCAACCACTGGGTGCGGGCCCTGGTGGCTGCCCAGAGCTACCTGTACAGTGGCTCCTACCAGACAATCAAGATCTGGGACATTCGAACCCTTGACTGCATCCATGTCCTGCAGACATCTGGCGGCAGCGTCTATTCCATTGCTGTGACAAATCACCACATTGTCTGTGGCACCTACGAGAACCTCATCCATGTAAGGCCTGGGTGCAGGGCCAGACTCTGGCCTCATCTCCCCCACCTTGCCCAGTGTCTTTAACCCACCTGTGCCCACTCCTCCCAGGTGTGGGACATTGAGTCCAAGGAGCAGGTGCGGACCCTCACGGGCCACGTGGGCACGGTGTATGCCCTGGCGGTCATCTTGACGCCAGACCAGACCAAAGTCTTCAGTGCATCCTACGACAAAAAAAAAAAAAAAAAAAAAAAATCTGTATACATGACTGTATACAGATGATATGGTTTGGATTTGTGTCCCTGCCCAAATTTCATGTCATATTGGAAGAGGGGCCTGGCGGGAGCTGTGGATCATGAGGCAGATTTCCCCCTTGCTGTTCTTGTGACAGTGAATGGGTTCTCACAGGATCTGATGGTTTGAAAGTGTGTAGCACTTCTCTCACTCTCCCTTTCCTGCCTCTGTGTGAAAAAGGTCCTTCCTTCCCCTTCACCTTCCTCTGTATTTGTGGTTTCCTGAGGCCTCCCAGTCATACTTCCTCTTAAGCCTGTGGAACTGTGAGTCAATTAAACCTCCTTTCTTCTAAGTGCCATGAAGTACTGTCACCTCTTGGGAACTGATCTACTTTCTCCTGAGAGTCAGTACATATCCTGTGACCAAGGACTCTCTGGATGTGATGACAGAGACATTAGACAGAAGGTGACAGCTACTATAACCCACAAGATGCTCCAGTCACACATTAGGTTCCAGAGTAGTCATTTTGTGTGAATTCCATTGTGCTGTTTTTACTGACACACTTCCGATACCAAATGTGTGGGCTTTTGCTCACATCAAGCAGTTCTCCAATTCTCTAACATCAAATAGGTGTCCAACAATTAGATTCAATTCTGACACCAACCCCTGGAAGACCCTATAGGTTAAGGTTTCAGTCCCACAAGACCAGCCCCATTTCAGACACCAGTCACAAGTGTGAGGTCTCCAGGTTACAAAGACTTCTTTCCCTTGGCTACTAATGTGGGGATTTCTGCAACCCACCTTCAGGTTTAATAATCTACTAAGGCCGGGCGCGGTGGCTCAAGCCTGTAATCCCAGCACTTTGGGAGGCCGAGGCGGGTGGATCACAAGGTCGAGAGATCGAGACCATCTTGGTCAACATGGTGACCCCGTCTCTACTAAAAATACAAAAAATTAGCTGGGCCTGGTGGCGCGTGCCTGTAATCCCAGCTACTCAGGAGGCTGAGGCAGGAGAATTGCCTGAACCCAGGAGGCGGAGGTTGCGGTGAGCCGAGATCGCGCCATTGCACTCCAGCCTGGGTAACAAGAGCGAAACTCCGTCTCAAAAAAATAAATAAATAAATAAAAAATAATCTACTAAGGAAAGCACTTTACTATTACTGCTTTATTTACAATTCCAGAACAGCCAAATGGAAGAGCTGCACAGGGCACAGTATGCTGGAGTATGGGGATAAACTTCATGCTCTCTCTGCATGCACCAACCTCCCAGAAGCTTGATGTGTTTACCAACCCTGCTCTCCAGACCCCTCTGTTTAGAGGTTTTATGTTACACAGGCATGGGTGAATAAATCATTGGCCACTGGTGACTGAACTCCATCTCCAACGTCTTTCTGCTTCCTGGAGATTAGGGGTAGGACTGTAAGTTCCAAGCTTCTAATCAAGGCTTGGTCTTTCTTGCAACCAGCCTCCACCCTGAAGCTACCTAGGACTCTACCAAGAGTAGTCTCACTAGAAAAAAGAGGACTAGGCATGATGGCTCACAGCTGTAGTCTTAGAACTTCAGGAGACGAAGGTGGACTAACTGCTTCAGCTGAGGAGTTCAAGACAAGCCTGTGGAACATGGTGAAACCCCATCTCTACAAAAAAATACAAAAAATTAGCTGGACCTGGTGGCACACACCTGCAGTCCCAGCTAGTTGGGAGGCTGAGGGGATGATGGCTTGAGCCCAGGAGGCCAAGGCTGCAGTGAGCCGAGACTGCACCACTGCACTCCAGCCTCGGTGTCAAAGTGAGACCCTGTCTCAAAACAAAAAGACTCGTAATTCAGGAAATTCCAAGAGTTTTAGGAGCTCTATGCCAAGAACTGCAAAGACCAAATATCTTTCTATGAGACCACGTGTGAGCAATATAGTCCTGATCCTACTTTGCCTAGATGTTGAAATCAGAATCTAAATTTACTGATGCACAAATTCTGGTTTACCAATTTATACTTTTTCACTTAAGTCAATTGACTTTTGAAGTTGTCCAGAAATCAATCATGTGATGAAGAAAAAAATAAACCAAAAGTCACCTGGGATGTGATCATTTTCTTCTGTTACCGGGAAATGGCCAGTAAGTAGGATGCTGCGTCTGTAGTCTCTCCTTGAACTGCCTTCAATTTCTGGCTAGAAATCTTGGTCTCTGGTGCATTACATCCCTGCGAAGTATGATATCCAGGTCCTGGACCTCCTCCTCACTGCACTTGATGTGTCTTGCTTCTGGAGTCAGAACCTGTGGATTGAAGAATACATTCTTTTTTTTTTTTTTTTTTTTTTTGAGACTGAGTTTCTCTCTCGTTACCCAGGCTGGAGTGCAATGGCGCGATCTCGGCTCACCGCAACCTCCGCCTCCTGGGTTCAGGCAATTCTCCTGCCTCAGCCTCCCGAGTAGCTGGGATGACAGGCACGCGCCACCATGCCCAGCTAATTTTTTGTATTTTTGGTAGAGACGGGGTTTCACCATGTTGACCAGGATGGTCTCGATCTCTCGACCTTGTGATCCACCCGTCTCGGCCTCCCAAAGTGCTGGGATTACAGGCTTGAGCCACCGCGCCTGGCCGAATACATTCATTTGAGTGTACATTCCCTGCAGGTCCAGGTGCTGTCGTTGCTGCTGCGTACTCACCTTAACGCAAGGCCATCTCTAACTGTCCCTTTATTTGAGGCCCCAGAAGTTTTTAGCCACCCTGGGGCAACAACAAATCCTAGGGCAACAAAACGTAACATTCTACATGTCTGAGCAATACATTTATAACCTGTTTTTCTTCTGTAATATGGAAGCAGAGTGACTGTGAGAGGGGAGACGGGAAAGGAGAACCAGCACCAACATGATGCTGAAATACCAAGGGACTTCCTAGACGGGGTTTTGGAAAAAGGACAGAGAAGGTGAAGATTTGGGTATTTCTTTCTTTTTTTTTTTTGAGACGGAGTTTCACTCTTGTTGCCCACGCTGGAGTGCAATGGCGCGATCTCGGCTCACCACAACCTCCGCCTCCTGGGTTCAGGCAATTCTCCTGCCTCAGCCTCCTGAGTAGCTGGGATTACAGGCACACGCCACCATGCCCAGCTAATTTTTTAGTATTTTTAGTAGAGACGGGGTTTCACCATGTTGACCAGGATGGTCTCGATCTCTTGACCTCGTGATCCACCTGCCTCAGCCTCCCAAAGTGCTGGGATTACAGGCTTGAGCCACTGTGCCTGGCCCGGTATTTATTTCTTTAAGACCACGTTGTTCACATGCTTGGTTAAAAGTCATCATACACCTCACATGTAGGCATGCCTCAGTTTGAAGACAAATGTGCTAAGCCAAGCAGAGGCACTATCTTATTTGATTTCTCATTACTACCTGCTGCGTTATATCCTCATCAAGTATCATTATTTTCCATTCCACTATTATCCTAAGGCTTACAGATTTAACTATATTGTCCAAAAGCTGAAGTAGAATCTGAACCCACGGGGCCTGTCTCTAAGAACATGACTTTAGCCACTGCTGAATTCCTTTGGGACACATACCGCCATCACGTCTTAGCTCTCTTTGTTACTACCTTGAGGTAGTTTCATGCATCATGGAAGATCGCCACTGTCATCTACATGTAATCTGACCTTGTGAAATCAGCACTGCCAACAGTGACATAGGCAACCAGCTTTTTCCATAAAGACAAATGGAAAAGCTGCATGCTACACCCCTGGCCTGAAAGCCAGGTCAGAGAGTGGCAGCCCTAGTGGCTTTCTTTAGGCCCACTTCTAAAACTTAAGTAAGAGACTTACATGATACTCTCACCATGAGCTTTCCTTCTACCTGGGAGGAATCACTGTGACAAGCTCTCAGTGGCCCTCGTGCATGTTCAGAACCCACAGGGCCTGCACTGACTCCTCCTCTGACCCACAGCTGCAAATGCTTCCTTTCCTTCTTCAATCTCAGAAGCACATAATTGTTGCAAGAGACTTTTCACACTTTTCTTCTCAGAATGCCACCAGTGGAAAGGTGCAGAACCCAGATGATGTTAACATTCATGAGCAGAAAGTGGTGGATGCAACATTTCAGTGACATCCAGGGTGTGTATTTCAAACGGCAAGCCTTCCTTCCCCAATAGCTTCCACAGCCCTTTTCCCAGGAATAGCTGAAGGCTGTTGTTCTGCTTTACAAGTTTTTGAGAAATGTCCACTACTTTTCCAACCGGAGTGAGTTCCAAAACAGGAGCGGTCTTTCAGGTAGTTAGAATAGACAACAAACAATTTTTTATTTTTATTTTTGAGACAGGGTCTCACTCTGTCACCCAGGCTGGAGTACAGTGGCGAGATCATGGCTCACTGTCGCCTCAAACTCCTAGGCTCAAGTGATCCTCTCACCTCAGCCTCCCAAAGTGCTGGGATTACAGGCATGAGCCACTTCACCGAGCTAAACAAAAGTATTTGTAAATAAAGTCTACTCTGTTCCCTCCAGGGCCTGAGTCCAGGATCCCACATTGGGAATGGCAGTCGCAATCTTCAAGACCATCTCAGAGCTGGGGAGGGGGTGAAGCAAAGACAAGTAAAAATGGCACAAAACTTTCCTACAATCCACAACCACAAAAACATGCTAAATGAAAATGCCAGACTCTCAGGTGCAGTGGCTCACACCTGTAAGCCAGCACTTTGAGAGGCTAAGGCGGGTGGATTGCTTCGAACTCAAGAGTTCAAGACCAGCCTGAGCAACATGGGGAAACCCCATTTCTACAAAAAGTTTCAAAAATTAGCCAGGCATGGTGGTGTGTGCCTGTAATCCCAGCTATTAAGGTGGTTGAGGCAAGAGAATTGCTTGACCCCGAGAGGCAGAGGTTGCAGTGGGCCAAGAGTGAGCCACTGCACTCCAGCATGGGCAATAGAGTGAGACTCTGTCTCAAAAAAAGAAAAAAAAAAAAAGAAAATGCCAGATACTAAATATCACGTTATATGATTTCATTTATTTAAAATACCCAGATTAGGTAAATGCGTAACGACAGAAAGTACATTGGCCGGGTGCAGTGGCTCACGCCTGTAATCCCAACTTTGGGAGGCCGAGGCGGGCAGATCACCTGAGGTCAGGAGTTCAAAGCCAGCCTGACCAACGTGGAGAAACCCAGTCTTTACTAAAAAGACAAAATTAGCCTGGTGTGGTGGTGTGCACCTGCAATCCTAGCTACTTAGAACCTGAGGCAGGAGCATAGCTTGAACCTGGGAGGTGGAGACTGCAGTGAACTATCACACCATTGCACTCCAGCCTGGGCAACAAGAGTGAGACTCCATCTCAAACACACACACACACACACACACACACACACACACACACACAGCACAAGGGTGGTTGCCAGGGTCTACTGGAAGGGAGAATGTGAAGTGACTGCAAGTGGTGGTTGTACAATACTGTGAATATACTAAGAGCGACTTCATTGTTGACTTTAAAATTGTTAATTTATGTTTTGTGAATTTTACCTCAATTTCAAAAATTTGATACATCCTATAAAAGTTCTATGAAACAATAAAAGTACATTCTCTAAAGTCAAAAGCAATATCAAAGATGAACAGGGTCACTAACACTATCTTAACTATTCTAGAAATGCTACCCAATTAGTTTGATAAACAATCAAGTATAAATAATATTAGAGAAGAGGAAACAAATTATATGACTAAGCAAGAGTGACGATTTTATAGATTCAATTGAACATATATAAAAAATAAATTTTTAGTCATATTGATGATTTTATATCTAAAAATTGCAAGCATTCCAAAACAGATGTACTTCTTTATCAGTATTAAGTGACTAAAGAATTTTGGAAATAACACTTTGTATTGAATACTTTTAACTGGGATATTACTAGAACCCAAAAATCCACCTTGAAAATTTTTGCAAAGGAAATAGTGATACATGCATGCATGCAAAGTTGATGTAAAGTATTTAGGCCTATTAATAGAGGATTAATTGGCTGATTATAAGTATGCACATCCAGTGAAATGGAGCTATCTAGCTATTAAAAATACTTATAATTGCCAGGTGCGGTGGCTCAAGCCTGTAATCCCAGCACTTTGGGAGGCCGAGGCGGGTGGATCACGAGGTCGAGAGATCAAGACCATCCTGGTCAACATGGTGAAACCCCATCTCTACTAAAAATACAAAAAATTAGCTGGGCATGGTGGCACGTGCCTGTAATCCTAGCTACGCAGGAGGCTGAGGCAGGAGAACTGCCTGAACCCGGGAGGCGGAGGCTGCGGTGAGCCGAGATCGCACCATTGCGCACTACAGCCTGGGTAACAAGAGCGAAACTCCGTCTCAAAAAAAAAAAACTTATAATCTATGTTTAATAAAAATACATGTACTTCAGTTATGTATATCATTGGCACATGAAAAATGGCTCAACATAAGTCTCCAGAGAAATGCAAATCGAAACCATAATGAGATACCACCTAACACCCACTAGAATGTCTGCAATAAAAAAAACCTAACAAGTGTTGGTGGGTATATGGTGGCATGGAATCCCTCAAGTATGACTGGTGGAAATGTTAAATGGTGCAGCCACTTTGGAAAAGTCTGGTAGTTCCACAAATGGTTAAACATACCATATGACCCAGCAACTCCATTTCTAGGTTTATACATAATAAAAACAATAAAAGCTTACACACAAAGGTTTATAGCACACTGTAATAGCCGAAAAGGGAAGACAATCCAAAAGTCCATCAACTGATGAAAGGATAAATATAAGGTGCTATACCCATACCATGAAATACTATTTTGGCATGAAAAAGAGTGAAGTACAGATATGTGCTATAACACAGACAAACCTGAAAAACATTATGCTACATAGGCCGGGCAAAGTGGCTCATGCCTGTAATCCCAGCACTTTGGAGGCCGAGGCAAGGGGACCACCTGAAGTCAGGAGTCTGAGACCAGCCTGGGCAATGTGTTGAAACCCGGTCTCTACTAAAAATACAAAAATTAGCTGGGCGTGGTAGCATGCGCCTGTAATCCCAGCTACTCAGAGGTCTGAGGCAGGAGAATCGCTTGAATTTGTGAGGCGGAGGTTGCAGTGAGCCCAGACTGCATCGTTGCACTCTAGCCTGGGTGACAGATAAGACTCTGTCTCGGCCGGGCTCGGTGGCTCAAGCCTGTAATCCCAGCACTTTGGGAGGCCGAGGCGGGTGGATCACGAGGTCGAGAGATCGAGACCATCCCGGTCAACATAGTGAAACCCCATCTCTACTAAAAATACAAAAAATTAGCTGGGCAAAGTGGCACGTGCCTGTAATCCCAGCTACTCGGGAGGCTGAGGCAGGAGAATTGCCTGAACCCAGGAGGCGGAGGTTGCGGTGAGCCGAGATCGCGCCATTGCACTCCAGCCTGGGTAACAAGAGCAAAACTCTGTCTCAAAAAAAAAAAAAAAAAAAAAAAGACTCTGTCTCAAAAAAAATAAATAAATAAAAAATAAAAATGTCATGCTATGTGAAGCCAGTCACAAAAGACCACACATTTTATTATAGCAATTACATAAAATGTCCAAAATAAGCAAATCTATAGAGACAGAAAGTAGATTAGTGGTTACTTAGTCACAGCAATGCAGGGATAGGGAGTGGTAACAAAAAGGTATGGGGTTTCTTTTTAGGTGACGAATATGTTCTAAAATTGACTTTGGTGATGGCTGCACATAGTGAAAGCCACTGAATCATATGGTATGTGAATAATAGACTTGTAATTAGGAAAAGCTGTCACTAGAACTTTATGATAAACATCCTGAAATATTTAGGGTAAGTGTATGAATGTCTGCAACTTACTTTGAAATGCACCAAAAAACAAAGCAATATTTAGAAGCTGGATTAATGTGGCCGGGCGAGATGGCTCACACCTGGAATCCCAGCACTTTAGGAGGCCAAGGAGAGAGGATCACTTGGGGCCAGGAGTTCAAGATCAGTCTGGGCAGCATAGTGAGATGCCATCTCTATGAAAAAAAAAAAAAATGGATTAATGATGAGTAGAAAGATGATATATAGATAGATACATAATAAAAGAAACACAATAAAATGATGATAACATCCAGGTGGTAGGCATACAAGTACTCAATTGTAAAGTTCTTTAAATCGTGTTATGTTTGAAAATTTTTGTAACCTGGAGAACAGGGAAGCTTGTTCAGTAAGGTGACCAAAAACAATGTAAATATTTTCTAAACTAATTGCTTTTCTATGTAAGAGTAAATTAGAGCAGAATAGAAAGGTTGAAAATAAAAACACACCATCTACAATTGCAAAAAAATTAAAAACCAAGGTGCAGATGAGGATCAGGGAGCAACATGTTTGGGTAAACATAGAATCATAACCAGTTCTTAAAAGTGGTAAGTGAACTTTTTAAGTCTTAAAATTCTATCTAAATATATTCATATACTTAGTGATTCAAGTCACAATGGTCAGTTTTGCGTCTTAATGGTATGCTATTACAGAAATCTTAAAAAAAATTTTTAAACAAAAACTGTAAGAATGTTTATAATATAAAATTAAATAAGGCATATTATTCCATTGTTTCAGCAGTTTGAGTTGTGAAAATCAAGCATAGAAAACGGAAATTTAAATACATAAAAATGTTTTCAAAAGTCACCACCGGGGAACCTATTTTGGGGTGAGAGAGATGTTATTTTACTTGTGTGAGAACCTGAAATAAAATTTACATGTGTGTATACATACATTCACACAGTAAACTTGGGGAAGAAGGATGAAAATCCTTAACTTTATTAGAAACCTTACCATTTTCTTTTTTGTTTTTTGTTTTTTCCTTTTTGTTTACTTTTTTTTTTTTTTTTTTTTTTTTGAGACAGGGCCTTGCTCTGTCACCCAGGCTGGAGTGCAGTGGCTCAATCATAGTTCACTGCAGCCTAGACCTCCCCGGGGTCAGGTGATCCTCCCACCTCAGCCTCCAGAGTAGCTGGGACTACAGGCAAAGGTCACCACACCCAGCTAATTTTTGTGTTTTTTGGAGAGACAGGCTATGTTGTCCAGGCTGGTCTCCAACTCCTGGGCTCAAGCAGTCCACCCACTTTGGGCTCCCAAATGTTGGGATTACGGGCGTGAGCCACACCACCAGGCCACCTTACCATTTTAGATTTGATTAATCTTTGATCCCCCCCGCAAAGCTTCCTATGTATCAGGATGAGAGGAAGGAGAGATGTGAGAAATCAAAGGAGATTTGTAAATTAGTCCTCGTGGAGAAACTTAAAGGGACTGAGATGGAATGTACCATTTGGACCTCAACACACACACCAATCCGAATGCCGCGACTGCCAAAGCCTTCACATGCGTCTCCACGACTGTCACATCTAGACTTGCCTAACACTGGTCACACCCCCTTGGATTAATCCCAAAACTTGGACCACACACCCAGGTTCATTGACCATGAGCCCGGGCTTGTCCTCACGGAGCCACATATTACATCCTGATTACAGCCTAAAGGGAAGCCAAAGTGGGAAGGTCGTTTGAGGCCAGGAGTTGGAGACCAGCCTGGGCAACATAGTGAGACTCCCGTCTCTGCAAAAAAACAAAAACAAACAAACAAAAACGGAAAAACGGGCGTGGTGGTGCTCACCTGTAGTCCCAGCTACTCGGGAAAGCTGATCCCGAGCTCAGTTGAGAGATCACCTGAGCCCCGGGAGGTGGAGGCTGCAGCGAGCCACGATCGTGCCACTGCACTCAAGCCTGTGTAACAGAGCGAGACCCTGTCTCAAAAACGAAAAATAAAATCCCAAATCCGCGGCGGACACCGTTTTCCTTGACAAAACCACTCCTCACTCCAGCCCTCTATCCCCGAGCCCTACAGAGTCAACCGCAAAGACACCAAACCCTGACCACGGACTTCCAGGCGTTGATCTGGGCAGACCCTGACCACTGACCACTGAGATCCCTCAGGGCTGACTCCGGAGGCGCCCCAACCCCAGTACCCCGACTCCCTCTTGCTCCCGCTTCCCCCTCAAACTCCACGGCTACGTACTACGCGGGCGCCCACGGACACCCTCCTCCCCTCATCCTGCTTCCCAGACAGACCCACACACAGACCTGATTTTGCGGGGAACCCACCGAGACTTCCCAGAACCGCCACTCTCCTTACTCAATTCTTCCACTTCTGGGCCCTTACCGAACCGCCAAGCCGGTCTACGGCGGCCGAAGAGAGTCTGAAGCTGCAGGTGTACGGAGCACCGACGACAGGAAGGTAAGAAGTCCGCGTCCTCTCGTCGCTGATCCTGGAGGCGGCCATCTTTGAATACCGTATGTACTGAAGGTAAAGTAGACCTTTTCTGCCCAAGTATCCAGGGATGGCTTGGGACGGTGACGAACCCCATATTTTGGCATCTAAATCCTGCGCCCCGAGTTTCATTGATTTTCAGAGGGTCTGGCTTAGCCAAGACAAACATGGGATGGGCTACGTTCCGCTTAGCGGGACAGGGAGAAAAGTCATCCGCTTTGCACAAAGAATGACGGGAATGACACAATCGGCGCGGCCATCTTAGAAGTTAGGTGTCCGTACAAGGGAAAACGCTTTCTCCGCGGAGGGAAAAGGGCCATCACACCCTAAGGCGTATATCGCGAAAACGCTTCTACCTACGGGTGGAGGGCAAGAGGAAGATTTTGAGGACAGAAAGTGTCTGGAGAAGCAATTGAGGTACGGGGAAAGCGTTCACCCCGTCAATGGAAAGTGACGAAACAGCGACTGGCGGGAACCTCGTTTACATTTGAGAGACACGGTCCCTGCCCAGTGCAGATAAAGAGTGCAGCCACTAGCCCACCAGAAGAGGGACTCCAATACGGGAGGAGGGAATTTTCCTTGCGAGAGAAAAAGGGTCTTCTCTCTGCTAGAGATGGAGTTAGTCTTAAGGTCGGGGCTTTCTGAGAACCAAATGCCTCAAATTCTGGAAGGAATAAATAAGATGATTCCGGGAGAATGAAAAAGTTGTGCAAGCCCCGGCGCGATGAGGCGCACCTATAGTCCCAGCTACTGGGGAGCCAGAAGGTGGAGGATCGCTTGAGCCCAGGAGTTCCAGGCTGCAGTGAGCTGTGATTGCACCTATCAATAGGCACTGTACCACACAGCCTTGGCAACCCCTTCATTAGGAAAAAAGAAAAAAAAAAAAGTTGTACAAGCAAAAAATAATCGGCCGGGCACGGTGGCTCACGTCTGTAATCCCAGCACTCTTGGAGGCTGAGGCAGGTGGATCATGGGAGGTCAGGAGTTTGAGACCAGCCTGGGCAACATGGTGAAACCCTGTGTCTACTAAAAATACAAAAATTAGCTGGGTGTGGTGGTGCACACCTGTAATCCCAGCAACTTAGGAGGCTCAGGTAGGAGAATCGCTTGAACCAAGGAGGCGGAGGTTGCGGTGAATTGAGAACCGCACCACTGCATTCCAGCCTGGGCGACAGGAAGACTCCGCCTGAAAGTAAAGAATGATAGTGTAGGCAAGCTGGTATATGCATCTCAATGGGAGTTTGGGATTTCTTTTTCTTTTCTTTTTCTTTTTTTTTGAGTCAGAGTCTCACTCTGTCATCCAGGATGGAGTGCCGTGGTGCAGTGTCCACTCACTGCAACCTTTGCCTCCCAGGTTCAAGCAATTCTCCTGCCTCAGCCTCCCAAGTTGCTGGGATTACAGGCGCGCACCACTTCTATATCCTACACAAATCAGTGCTTTGTGTATTAGCCTATAAAAGTCAGCAGACTATTTTGGTGCAAGACCAGATAGTAAGTATTGCAGGCTTTACAGGTTACGTACGATCTCTTGCATACTCTATTTATTTTACTATTTAAAAATATTAAAAACCAATCTTAGCTCAAGGGCAAAGCAGACTGTGGACTAGATATGGCTCATGAGCAGCAATTTGCTAACCCCTGGAACCCTGAATTGAACAGCAAAATCCTAAAAGTGTGAGAAGAAAATACAAGAGAATGTCTTTATGATCTTAATGTGAGGAAGAATTTCTTTAAAAAGACTTAGCATAAACTATAATGGAAAATATTAAGGCCAAGGGTAGAGGGTCGTGAAATTACAGTGAGCTGAGATCGTGCCATTGCACTCCAGCCTGGGCAACAGGGCAAGACTCCCCATCTCAAAAAAAAAAAAAAAAAAGGAAAATGGGGAATTGTTTGTTTTGAGTTCCCAACATGTACAGAGCACCCTTGGCATAACTAACTCCATTTTACAAAAAGACTTCATCTTACATTTCAAAAGGCCTCATGCCAACTTGGACCAGATGTTTTGCCTAATCAATAAATACTGCATCCAACCAGAAAAGGACATAAACAGGCACACTCTAAGTCCTCACCTGACGACTCTGGCCATAAAAAGAGCAGGACTTCACAAGATTGAAACAGCGGCCTTAACAGGTACCATCTTGCTGTCACTTGCAATAAACAGCCAGTATTTGCTGCCATACGCTATGCCCACATCAAAGACTCTTCCTTTCAAGATGTTGACATCCAAAACAAGAGAAGAAAAAAAAAGAAAAAAGGGCCAGGCGCGGTGGCTCACGCCTGTAATCCCAGCACTTTGGGAGGCCGAGGTGGGTGGATCACCTGAGGTCAGGAGTTCAAGACCAGCCTGGCCATCATGGTGAAACCCCATCTTTAAAAAAAAAAAAAAAAAAAAAAAGATGTTGACATCCACCCAGATCAGGGAGGATATTCTCTGTCCATGTAGCTCTCCTTGAACTTTTTCTTACCCCTTTTCTCTTGTTAAATTTTACTTTGATGTCATATTTAATCTTTAAACATTTAAATTTATATATTGATTAAATATACTATTATGTATGGTTTGCTTTTTTTTTTTTTTTTTTTTGAGACGGAGTTTCGCTCTTGTTACCCAGGCTGGAGTGCAATGGTGCGATCTCGGCTCACCGCAACCTCCGCCTCCTGGGTTCAGGCAATTCTCCTGCCTCAGCCTCCTGAGTAGCTGGGATTACAGGCACATGCCACCATGCCCAGCTCATTTTTTGTATTTTTAGTAGAGACGGGGTTTCACCATGTTGACCAGGATGGTCTCGATCTCTCGACCTCGTGATCCACCCGCCTCGGCCTCCCAAAGTGCTGGGATTACAGGCTTGAGCCACCGCGCCCGGCCTGGTTTGCTTTATTGACTGACTTATAGAGTAGCTTGAGCCTGTGTGCCCATGGCTCTGACTACTACTGAGTGAACCAGGAGTCCTAAGGAGAATTGCCTCTGTGGGAAATCCACATAGCTTGTGGCTTTTATGATTGAAACAGCATCCGTAAAAATCTGACCTTGTTGAAAGGCACAGACAAACATGGATTTAGTTATGTCAGACTTCGCATCACTTATGACGGGGCACTGGTATTAAGTTCTGGTTGGCTGATTTACATTGCCTTACAACATTTAGAGATTTGTCTCTGCCATAGTTCACTGCTGCTGCAGCTGAAAGGAGCTTAAACTGAGGCACAGAGAGATGCAAGACCAGAGCAGAAAGAGGCATACACAAGACATTCACAAAACAGCACAAAGATACTCCGGTCTTCTTTCAGTAGTCTCAGTTGCAAGCAAAGGCACTGCAGGTTTGATTACATCATTCTGGAAAGAATGGTTGTGTGCGATTCCTTGCTTATCTGATGCCATCATAATGATGTAGGGCAGGTGAGCCCCAAATTGGGGCTTAGGCCAGGAGGGTTCTTGCTTAACCCAGGAAAGAATTTAGGGGCCCCACAGTGATGTTAGATAGAAACTTTCTTTTGTTTTGTTTTGTTTTGAGATGGAGTTTCGCTCTTGTTACCCAGGCTGGAGTGCAATGGCGCGATCTCGGCTCACCGCAACCTCCACCTCCTGGGTTCAGGCAATTCTCCTGCCTCAGCCTCCTGAGTAGGTGGGATTACAGGCACGTGCCACCATGCCCAGCTGATTTTTTTGTATTTTTAGTAGAGACGGGGTTTCACCATGTTGACCAGAATGGTCTCGATCTCTTGACCTCGTGATCCACCCGCCTCGGCCTCCCAAAGTGCTGGGATTACAGGCTTGAGCCACCGCGCCTGGCCCAGATAGGAACTTTTATTGAAGTGGCAGAGCATAGCAGCAACAGCAGAGATGCTGCTCCTTGTGGAGCAATGTGCCCAGAATCGCAGCTCAGAGGCAGCTCTTCAGTCATACTTCTGCCTACTTTTAATTACATGCAAAGTAAGGGGTGGATTATGCATACATTTCTAGAAAAACGTCGTAACTTTCAGGTCATCAGCTTATTGTCATGGAAAATGGCAATAACGCTCAGGTGTTACCACGGAAATGGTAAACTTGACATGGCATACTACGTCTTACTGTGAGATATGGCAAGATTTCTCTTCAAACAGCCTACTCAACCTTTTATTCTTTAATTCCCAGTACCCTCCCCCTACCCTTTCTTCTCCTTTCCTACTTTCTAACTTTAGTACATGCCCATGCATGCCCTAGCACCAGTGGCATTATCAGCACCAGCTCACATTCCTTTCCTTATTTTAAAAAAAACTAGCTCTCTAGTTCACCACAAACAACCCCTTCCTCCTCTCCCCTCTCCCATCACGCATCCATCTTATCAGAAACAAAATTTAAATATTTAGCCAATCAAGTCTAGTTTAAATTGCGCAGTCTGACCCCAGCCATTGGGGAAAGGACACAGGGGCAGGAGTTAACGTTAAAAATAAAAACTTCTGCCGGGCGTGGTGGCTCAAGCCTGTAATCCCAGCACTTTGGGAGGCCGAAGCGGGTGGATCATGAGGTCAAGAGATCGAGACCATCCTGGTCAACATGGTGAAACCCTGTCTCCACTAAAAATACAAAAAATTAGCTGGGCCTGGTGGCACGTGCCTGTAGTCCCAGCTACTCAGGAGGCTGAGGCAGGAGAATTGCCTGAACCCAGGAGGCGGAGGTTGCGGTGAGCCGAGATTGCACCATTGCACTCCAGCCTGGGTAACAAGAGCGAAACTCCATCTCAAAAAAATAAAAATAAAAACTTCTACTCTCCTTTGTTGTTTGTGCTCTCGTAGCAACCAGCCTTACAAAAACCACCCTCCTGCGCAAAAATAAATTTGCTTTACTAAAAAAAATCCTTCGTCTAAGTACTCATTTTTCCTCGCAACTCTAAGCCTTATTTCTAACACTTTTGAAAAGCTGCTTCTGCCCTGTTGCTGTTTTAGCTAGTCCTCAATTTGGTTTGGTGCTGGAGCCCAGCTTCTGGAGTCAGGTCCCACCTCCTCCCTTGATAGTGGCTTTCGTATTCAGTTTTTTTCATAAAACACAATTTCAAATTTCTACACTTGGTGTTTTCCAAACAGGCCTGAAGCAAAAAGCAACCTTTAATATGAATATATATGTATATAAAATAATGTATAATGAATAATGTATAAATATTACTATGAATATCAGAAACAGAGATATACTATTGTAAGATTATTTTATTATACATTAAGTGATGTAATGTCCTTGAAGTTAAATGATAAGTTCATGATTTTCTTTTTTTTTGAGGCGGAGTTTTCGCTCTTGTTACCGGAGTGCAATGGCTCACCGCAACCTCCGCCTTCTGGGTTCAAGCAATTCTCCTGCCTCAGCCTCCTGAGTAGCTGGGATTACAGGCACGTGCCGCCACGCCCAGCTAATGTTTTGTATTTTTAGCAGAGACGGGGTTTCACCATGTTGACCAGGATGGTCTCGATCTCTTGACCTCGTGATCCACCTGCCTCGGCCTCCCAAAGTGCTGGGATTACAGGCTTCAGCCACCGCACCGGGCGGGACGTTTTCAATTACTTTTCATCGACAGAGTCTGCCTACTGCGCAAAAAGGGGGACTCCGCCTGCTGTACGGCAGTAGACTTGAAAATGGCTGCTCCCAGCAAGCATCTCCCGGGCGCAACATATTGCATCATAAAGGGACGGCCCGCGCCGGTTTCCGAGTCTCTGGAAAAACGCGGTGTGACCCTAGCCGGCCGCCATCCCTGACGCCTGCGAGGGTCGCGTTTGTAGCGTGCGGGGGTCGCGCAGTGGCGGGCTGAGGTGAGCGTTTAGAGATTTAGGGTCCGTGACTCGCCTCCAGCGGTGACGACAGAGGTCATGGGTCAGGTCTGCGTGGGATTCTGGGAGTGTCTCGGGGTCAGGGAGAGCGCGTTGGCGTTTTTCTGTTGGGGGTCCGCGTTGCGGGGAGCCCTGGGGGAGTCCTCGCTGGGGGTTCGTTTCGCAGAGTCGTGCTGGGGTTTCCCGAGTCGGGGAGCTCGTGGGCTCCGCGTTGGGACCAGCGCTTGGGAGGACTTGGTGGCAGAGTAGCGCTGGGGCGGTCGTGGTGGGAAAGCGAATGATGTTAGTGTTGGAGACAGCTTGGGGCCGTTCGTGTTCATTGCTTATCACGAGGTCAAAAGATCGAGACCATCCTGGTCAACATGGTGAAACCCCGTCTCTACTAAAAATACAAAAAATTAGCTGGGCGTGGTGGCGCGTGCCTGTAATCCCAGCTACTCAGGAGGCTGAGGCAGGAGAATTGCCTGAACCCAGGAGGTGGAGGTTACAGTGAGCTGAGATCGCGCCATTGCACTCCAGCCTGGGTAACAAGAGTGAAACTCCGTTTCAAAAAAAAAAAGGGGGGGCTTGCTGGTCCCCTCGCTTCCATGCTAATGTATATTCTGTAGAAAACTTGCTTTCAGGTTCATTGCGACCCAAGTCATGACCTCCCCATCATCGTAAATACTCCTCCAGAAAATAGCTCTTGTTTAGCGTTATTTCATGTTTAGTGTTGGGATCAGGTGTCTAGGTATTGGTATGATTTTATTCGTATTTAATCTAACATCTTGACAACGACGTATTCCCATATTGCTTGCTCTTTGAGAGTTTTCCTGTTTAAACGGCTGCAGTTTCATCAAGTGGTTACTTTAATTTGGGTAGAATTGATGTAGATCCAACACTTTCAGGAACATGTGATGGATTTCCATTAACCCAAGTTTTTTTTTTTTTTTTTTTTTTTTTAAGACAAGAGTCTTGCTCTGTCACAAGGCGCCAGGCTGGAGTGCAGTGGCGCAATCTCAGCTCACTGCAACCTCCGCCACCCGGGTTCAAGCAATTCTCCTGCCTCAGCCACCCGAGTAGCTGAGACTACAGACGCGTGCCACCACGCCCAGCTAATTTTTATATTTTAGTAGAGACGGAGTTTCACTATGTTGACCAGGATGATCTCTACCTTTTGACCTTGTGATCTGCCGGCCTTGGCCTCCCAAAGTACTGTGATTACAGGCATTAGCCACCTTGCCCGGCCAACCCAAGATTTTTATTTCTTTTGACTAGCTGTAGTATTTTTCCATACGTATCTTGGACTTCTCTGGTTATGCTTATTTCTACATAATTAAAACTTTTGTTGCAAATCGCGACTTCTTTTTGCATAAGGCCTTTCCCCTTTTTCTTTTTTTGTTTCTAATTTTACTTAGTGGACAAGAGCAGAAGTTAAAAGTATATATGTTTATTCTGTCACTTCATTCTACTCATGTCATTACACAAAACTTATAAATTGATGTCTTTCTGTTTTCTAGTTGAGCATTTTTGTCACCTGCAAATAATTTTAGCCAAGTGGCAAGTGTATATGGAATAAGAAGAACCTGCTTCTGCCTCTAACTTGGGCAGGTAAATCTCTGAGTCAGTTTCCTTATTTGTGGAAAAAAAGCTGTCATAATTTCTAGTTCATACAATCATTATGAAGATCAAGAGAGCAAATGTTCTTTATGTACAAAGTGTAGTACTAAGCATGTAATAGGGTCTGAATAAATAAAACTCTGATTTACCAAGTGTTTATTTCTCTTTCCCAAGGGCTTTTGACCTTTACAATTATATTCATTTATATTTTTTCTCTTTTTTTGAGACGGAGTTTCGCTCTTGTTACCCAGGCTGGAGTGCAATGGCATGATCTCGGCTCACCGCAACCTCCGCCTCCTGGGTTCAGGCAATTCTCCTGCCTCAGCCTCCTGAGTAGCTGGGATTACAGGCACGCGCCACCATGCCCAGCTAATTTTTTGTATTTTTTTTTTATTAGAGACGGGGTTTCACCATGTTGACCAGGATGGTCTGGATCTCCTGACCTCGTGATCCACCTGCCTCAGCCTCCCAAAGTGCTGGGATTACAGGCGTGAGCCACTGTGCCCGGCCCCCTTATTTTTTTTGTTTTTAAAATCTTGTTTGATTTATGTTGCTCTGTTTCCCAATTTCATATGTTCTTGGGGGGAAGAAACATACTTTTTCTTAACGGTTTGTTCTTTTAATATGAGGCTGTATTTTATTTGCTAATATTTTATTTAATATTTTTGCATCAAGAAATGAAAAGATGTCTTACCTGTTTTGTCCTTTCTTTCTCAGTGGATTTGTGGAAGCTTGCAAAAGACAGTCTGGTTAGATGAGATACTGCATACCGATAAAAATCAGGATTTGGGCCGGGCGCGGTGGCTCAAGCCTGTAATCCCAGCACTTTGGGAGGCCGAGGCTGGTGGATCACGAGGTCAAGCGATCGAGACCATCCTGATCAACAAGGTGAAACCCGTCTCTACTAAAAATACAAAAAATTAGCTGGGCATGGTGGCGCGTGCCTGTGATCCCAGCTACTCAGGAGGCTGAGGCAGGAGAATTGCCTGAACCCAGGAGGCAGAGGTTGCGGTGAGCCGAGATCGCGCCATTGCACTCCAGCCTGGGTAATGAGCGAAACTCCTCCTCAAAAAAAAAAAAAAAAAAAATCAGGATTTGTCAGAAAATAACTTGTAATCTTAAAATCCTGACACATTAAGGAATGAGATATATAGACCGGGGGGTTGTGCAAGGTTCTTTTTGTTTGTTTGTTTTTTTGGAGGAGTCTTGCTCTGTCACCCAGGCTGGAGTGTGGTGGCTCCATGTCAGCTCACTGCAACCTCTGCCTCCCAGGTTCAAGTGATTTTCCTGCCTCAGTCTCCCCAGTATGTGTAGAGTTCTTATGTGAGAACATAGCTAAGTGACTGTTAAGACCCTGTGGGTTTTCTCTCTTTTAAACTGTGTCTCTTTTGTTTTTTTGGCAGCGGAAATAACAGGAAACACATGAAAAATGCCATGATTATAATGTCTGTGAGGAGAGAGCAAGGCAGTTCTTCAGGGGAGGTAAACATGTTATTGCTGTTAGATCTTGAGAAACATGTAGTTGACCGTGTCTTCAAATTCAGCCTCGTAATAAAGGCATGGGACATTTTCTTTGGCTTTTTCCTGTTGTTTAGTGGGGTAAGCTAAGGAAAACTGGATTGGACAAAATTCTTTGGAAACCGTGCCTTGAAAATACAGGCTTCTGGTCATCTGACTTTGCCCAGGAATACGCCTGGAGTATCCAGTAGAATTAATGGGCTGCTTAACCTTTGAATGATCCTCCATGAAGGATTCTCTCAACCATAACATATCAATAACAACCAGATTTTTGTTATTAGTACAGCGGAGACAACTAAAAGCTCCATTGTTTGGTAACAGCTTGGAATGCAGACACTGACAGTCCTTCTTTCTTACCTTCTGAACTCCAGGTTCAAAAAACAAAGCACCAGTTTATGCTTGTTTTTTTTTTTTTTTTTTTTGAAATGGAGTTTTGCTTGTTACCCAGGCAGGAGTGCAATGGCGCGATCTCGGCCACAATCTCCGCCTCCCGGGTTCAGGCAATTCTCCTGCCTCAGCCTCCTGAGCAGCTGGGATTACAGGCACGCGCCACCATGCCCAGCTAATTTTTTGTATTTTTAGTAGAGACGGGGTTTCACCATGTTGACCGGGATGGTCTCGATCTCTTGACCTCGTGATCCACCCGCCTCAGCCTCCCAAAGTGCTGGGATTACAGGCGTGAGCCACCGCGCCCGGCCTGCTTGTTTTGTTTTTTGTATGTTAACTACTGAGATGATACATAGCTACATTTGCATGCAAGAGATTCAAGCAAACAGAAGCATTTTTATCAAAAGACTCTATCTCCTTTCACCGTTTTTCTGCCCAAACTTCAACCCAAAGGGTAATTAAGTGGTCATAGTTTTGGGTCTCCATCCAGTTTCTCCCTGTGATTGACATGTGTTAGAATATGTTTATATACATTTCTGTATACATATATGTATGTACTTAACGCATGTAGAATTGTGTATATTATTACCTCTTTTTTCTCGAGATGGAATCTTGCTCTGTTGCGTAGAGCTGGAGTGCAATGGTGTTATCTTGACTCACTACAACCTCTGCCTTCCGAGTTTGAGGAATTCTCCTGCCTCAGTCTTCCAAGTAGCTGGGATTACAGGCGTGCACCACCATACCCTGCTAATTTTTGTATTTTTAGTAGAGACGGGGTTTCACCATGTTGGCCAGGCTGGTCTGGAACTCCTGACCTCAGATGATCTGCCCTCCTTGGCCTCCTAAAGTGCTGGCATTACAGGCATGAACCACTGTGCCCAGTTACACGATTACATTTTTTTAAAACATGTCTTAGATCATGTATTATTTGGGAGCTTAATTTTTTTTCATTTAAGAGAAAGCCTTGTAGATCATTGATAGCCATATATATATGTATACATCTGCCTCATTGATTTTAACATTTTTGTAGTATATTATAGCATGGAGATGCTGTAATTTAACCCTGTCTGCTTTTGATAGACATTTAGATTATTGATAAGGTTTTCATTATTAGAAACAAAGGAATAATGAACATTCTTATTGCACATTGTTTCATATCTGTGCAAATACTGCCTTAGTGCTTTTTGAGGGTAGGAAGAATTAGTGGAATTCCATGGTCCTATGGTATGTGAAATAGTCGTGTTGTGCATAATTTGTCTTGGTGAAAAGGATCAAGACATGTCTGTGTCCCTCTTTTCTACATCATCTATTGTTATCCACTTCAGATTGCATTGGAATTGTTATTATAGGGATTATTGTCATTCGAAGATGTGGCTGTGGACTTCACCAGGGAGGAGTGGCAGTTTTTGGACCCGTCTCAGAAGGTCTTGTACAAGGAAGTAATGTCGGAGAACTACAGAAACCTAGTATCAGTAGGTGAGGACAGCATCACAGTCACTTACCTTTTCTTCCTTATTTGGTAATCTCTGTACAGTCTCTTAGATAGTTAATGGTTTCACCTAAAGCATTGTATATCATAGATTTTTTTTTTTTTTTTTTTTGAGACGGAGTTTCGCTCTTGTTACCCAGGCTGGAGTGTGCAATGGCGCCATCTTGGCTCACCGCAACCTCCGCTTCCTGGGTTCAAGCAATTCTCCTGCCTCAGCCCCCCGAGTAGCTGGGACTACAGGTGTGCACCACCATGCCCAGCTAATTTTTGTATTTTTTTTAGTAGAGACAGGGTTTCACCATGTTGACCAGAATGGTCTTGATCTCTTGACCTTGTGATCCACCTGCCTCGGCCTCCCAAAGTGCTGGGCTTACAGGCGTGAGCCACCGCGCTCGGCCTCATAGATTTTTTTTGTTGTGGTAAAATATATAACATAAAATTTACCATCTTAACCATAAGTGTGCAGTTCAGTGGGATTAAATGCATTCACAATGTAATGAATCCACCACCACCACTACCATCTGTCTTCTAAAACTGAAACTCTGTACCCATGAAACAACAACTATTCATTCCCTCACTTCACACCAGCCCCTGGCAATCACCCTTCACTTTTGACCTCTCTAAGTACCTTATATATTTGTGCCTGGCATATTTCACTTAGTATGATGTTCTCAAGGTTTATCCATGTTGTAGCATGTTTCAGAATTTCCTTTTTAAGGCTGAGTAATATTCTTTTGTATGTATATACCATCTTTTGCTTATCCACATATCTGTTAAGGAACACTGGGTTGCTTCCATGTTTTAGCTCTTGTGAATCATGGTTCTATGAATATGGGTGTACAAATATCTCTTTGAGACCCTGCTTTCTATTCTTTGGGGTATATAGCCAGAAGTGGAATTGCTGGGTGACACGGTAATTCCATTGTTAATTTTTTGAGGAACAGGTTTCTACAGTGTCAGTACCATTTTACATTCCTACCAGGAGTACACAGGATTCCAGTTTCTCCACATCTTTGCCAACAATTGTTATTTTCTGTTTTGTTTTGTTTTTGATAGTAGCTGTTCTAATGGATATGAGTGTCATAGACTTACATTTTCCTCCCTGGCACAAAGCGGATATGCTCTTCTCCTGAGTAAAGATTTTTACTTTATCCAAGTACAAATGCTGTGGTTCCTCAGACATAACTCTCTCCATTTTCATTGATTCCCCAAGCATAAATGCCAACTGTTGAGTGATTTCTTGTTTACAGGGTATCAAGGCACCAAGCCAGATTCACTCTTCAAGTTGGAGCGAGGAGAACCCCCATGGGTAGTAGAAGGAGCAGCCCACAGTCAAACCTGTGCAGGTAAGGGAGTGAAAACTAAGAAAATGGGGAGAAATGGCCTGAAAATCCAAGCTGGTCAGAAAATGGTTGATGCTTTTAAAGTGTTCTTTAGAGGACCTTACACTAGTTGGTGGCCCAGTAACCTAGTCAGCAGCCCTTCTGCGTCTGTCCCCACCCCTAATAGAGCTCTCCTTTCCCTGCTCTCAAAGGATCATGTCTTCCTTTCTTCTGTTTTCTGGATCTGATTTCAGTCCATGTCCTTGAATTCTTACCTGATTCCATTCTTCCCAGGCTGCTCCCAGCTTTTCTCTTCCTGCTCCCTACCTTACTTGCTTTGAAATTCCTCTCAAAACCCATCTGGATTGTGTTGCTTTTAGCACTTCAGTCGCTTAAGCATATCCCGGCCCCATTGGAAAGGGCTGATTTCCTTTACTGAAAATCATCTCACCTTAACTCACGTGAAAGCCCTCACACCTTGTCTCTCTGGGTGTCTCTGTTGACTTATTCACCTCCTGCTCCCCTGCCTTCCCAGCTTCTGTTTTCTTTTTATGTTCTCCTGAGTCTCCTGGTAGAAGTTTAATTTATTCTGAAGGCCTGAGCCTTCACAAATTGACATCTCTGCTACTAATGTCTCGTCTGCACTCTAACCCCCTGTGTGTTGCCAGCCACCAGGACAGCTGTCCAAATATTTCCTTCTTCCAGTATGTGAAACCAGGATCCTCCTTTCTCCCAGATGTTTCTACTATCAGATACTCATATGTAATAAAGATTTCAGCTATGTCTTCTGACAAATAGCCTCATGTGGATATCTCCCTTACTGTTATCTCACCTATCTTCTTGTTCTGTATTTTGCCAGCACCCAGGACGATTATTCTGTGAAATTCTTTCCTTCCCTGCGCATTATATTTAGGTTCTGCTGTACTGCTCACCACTCCGGTATGTGGTCACCTTGGAGTTGCCTTGAATCGTCTCTGTTTACTCTGTTCTTTGTCTGAACATCTCAGCTGCTCCTGTCACTTTTAATTGTTTTGAAAAGGCCTTTTGAACAGTCCGCTCTCAATTCCCACCTCACAGTAGGCCATGGTAATAGAGGTTTGCACTGTCTCCATTGCTACACATGTTGACTGACTTCCGTTTTTTTGTGAGTTCCTTTCGATGTTACGGTTTCATTCCCCACTGGGCAGGGGCAATCAAGGCACTGGAACTTAATGAGAAGACATGAAGAGTGAGTGTTGGTTGAAGAAGCAAGAGGTCCATATATATGCAGAGATTCAAAAGAGAAGAACCCAGCCACGTTAAAAAAAAGTATCAGGGTTGTGGTGGGAGAGTCAGACGATGTCCATGTGAGAAAATTATTCCAAGGAGGAAGAAGGCATATATTTTATTGAATGCTGCAGATAATGTCAAGTAACATGAGGACTGACATCTGTGCACTTGATCATGTTGTATTTTTACATCCGGATACTGCTCTCTTTCACTGTCAGCTCATGTTTCACTACCAAGAAGTAGTTTTTGACTAGTTGAGGGTACATTTGGAGTTTCCTCCTTTTTTTTTTTTTTTTTTTTGAGACAGTTTTGCTCTCGTTGCCCAGGCTGGAGTGCAGTGGCTCAATCTCAGGTCACTGCAACCTCCACCTCCTAGGTTCAAGCATTTTCCTGCTTCAGCCTTCTGAGCAGCTGAGATTACAGGCACCCACCACCACCCCTGGTAATTATTTTTTGTGTGTGTTTTTAGTAGAGACAGGGTTTCATCATGTTGGCGGGGCTGATCTCAAACTCCTGACCTCAGGTGATCCACCCATCTTGACCTCCCAAAGTGCTGGGATTATAGGCATGAGCCACTGCGCCCGGCCGCCTTCTTTTCTGACTTCTATCTCCTTTGTGTCTATGCTGCACTAACTTAGTAACGGTCATATTTTGTTTTGTATGTGTTTTGTTTTACTGGTTGGTATGAGGCTTCTTTTTACCATATCGAGAAAAGGGTTTGTGTCTTACTGTCCTTGCTTAATGTGGTCTCCATAGTAGTTCACTAACAAAACTGCTTGCCTGCATTCATCACAGCTCTCTTGAGTGCAGGTTTTGTTTTGCTTCATTTTGGTTTTACACTTTTGTCTTTTAATCATGGATGTGCATAAAAGCATTTTCAAACTACAGGCTGTGTCTCTTGAGATTCTACTTCTGATTTGTTAGATACAGGGAGTGACCTGAGCATTTGAAGTTCACGAGGGTTGGCAGGCACTTCTGCCTGGAACCCTGTAGCTAAAAAGCCAGCATTTTAATAGGCTCCAAGAGAGACTACAATGTAATGAAGGACATAGGTGTGTAAAGTTTTTAAATTTTGAGCATTTGGGCTGGGCACGGTGGCTCACGCCTGTAATCCCAGTACTTTGGGAAGCCGAGGCAGGCGCATCAACTGAAATCGGGAGTTCAAAACCAGTTTGAACAACTTGGAAAAACCCTGTCTCCACTAAAAATACAAAAAATTAGCTGGGTGTGGCGACAAAGTGCATGACTGTTATCCCAGCTACTCAGGAGGCTGAGGCAGGATAGTCACTTGAACCCGAGAGGCAGAGGTTGCGGTGAGCCGAGATCATAGCATTGCACTCCAGCCTGGGCAACAAGAGCAAAACTTTGTCTCAAAAAAAAAAAAAAAAAAAAAAATTTGATTATAAGGCGTTTTGGTATATTACAAGGCTATGCAAAATGAATCGTCAAGTAGGTACAAAGACAGTAACAGGTGTCAAATAAACATATAAAAAGTGTTTCAGAGAATAAAGTACTGTTTTTATAAGCATGATAAAATATTTTTTGCAGGAAGAATGCTGGATTTTGGATAAAAATGATGATGGAAGGCCTTCATCAATGGGTCAATAACAATATAAAGAAAACTTTGTAGTAGGAAATAGGAGGATGAGATGGGAGATGCTCAATAGATTGGCCTGTAGGGGACAACGAGAAAGGAAATGGCTGATTACTCTGGGTTTTATGTTAATAGTTGGCTTAGAAAGTGTGAATTTGGTTTTGTTTTATCCTTTTTTGTTTTTTGGAGACAGAGTCTTGCTCTCTCCCAAGCTGGAGTGCAGTGGCATGATCTCCACTCACTGCAGCCTCCGCCTCCCACTTCCCAGGTTCAAGCGATTTACTCCCTCAGCCTCCTGAGTAGCTGGGATCACAGGCACGCATCACCATGCTTGGCTGATTTTTGTATTTTCAGTAGAGACTGGGTTTCACCATGTTGGCAAGGCTGGTCTTGGACTCCTGACCTCAGGTGATCCACCTGCCTCGGCCTCCCAAAGTGCTGGGATTACAGGCTTGAACCACTGTGTCCGGCCTGTTTCATCTTTCTTTGCTAGTTCTAGAGAGTCTTGCTTGATAGGTAGAGTCATTGTAATATTAGGAAGGTATAACTTGGGGTTCTAGGATGAATAGAAGATAAGGCAGATGAATGTTTTCCTGGATGGGGAGTGATTCCTCAGAATGTCTAACTGATGAGTGCCAGAGATGATGTTGGAATGGAAGTTAAGGAAGAATGTGGTATTAGTTGAAAGACGAAAATTTGGAGATGACTGTATCAAGGAGATTATAATGGCAAATATAGATAATAGTCTGTGTCTATGCTGGCCAATGCATTGGGCACAGGCTACATGTAGTTATACAAATTTAATTAAAATTAGGTAAAATTAAAAATTCAGTTCTTTTTTTTGTTGTTGTTGAGACAGATTCTTGCTCTGTCGCCTAGGCTGGAGTGCAATGTCATGATCTTGGTTCACCGCAACCTCTACCTCCTGGGTTCAAGCAGTTCTCCTGCCTTAGCTTCCCAAGTAGCTGGGATTACAGGCGCCCATCACCACACCCAGCTAATTTTATTTTGTATTTTTAGTAGAGACAAGGTTTCATCATGTTGGCCAGTCTGGTCTCCAACTCCTGTCCTCAAGTGATCTGCCTGCCTCGGCCTCCGAAAGTGCTGGAATTACAGGTGTAAGCCACTGTGCCTGGTCCAAAAATTCAGTTCTTTAGTCACCCTGGCCACACTGAAGTACTCAATAGCCACACATAGTGGCTACCATATTGGAAAACACAGATATAGAACATTTCCATCATTGCAGAGGGTTTTGCATTTGACACAGTCAGAATATTATTAAACTGAGTGGAGACATAGTTAATATTGACTAATTTCCACTGGTCAATATGATTGTGACACTTCCCTGGGAAAAGGCAAGGTGATCTAGGGAACTATTTTTTAAATCATATGTATCTGGAATACTGAATATTGTATGGTTGTTTCATACCTGTAAAGGGGAAAAATTGTTTTTCTACTCTTATGGAATGCATCTGACACCAAATGTTTAGGGGTTTTCCTCACACCAACCAGTTCTCCAACTCTCCTGACACCAGCTGGGTGTCGCACAATATCACTGTGACGTGAACTACCTGAAGTTAGTACAGACCCCACAGGTTAAGGGCTCAGTCTCACAAGACTGTTTCCGACTTCAAATACCAGTCATAAGTAGCAGACTCCCACGTTACCTACATTTCTGACTTGACCACAAATAGGTGGTTCCCACGATCCCCTTCTCAGTTTCGATAATTTGTTGTGACTGCTTATAGAATCCTGGGAAACACGCTTGATTTATTACAAAGACCATGATAAAGGATGCAGCCAGATCAAGAGGTGTGTAGGGCAAGATCTAGAAGGGTGCCAAGCACTGGAGTTTCTAACTTCAGGGAGCTGGAGTGAATCACTCTTCCAGTATGTGAGTATGCTCACTAACCTGGAAGCTCTCTGAAGTCTATCTTGTAATTGTTTTTGTGGAGGCTTCATCACTTAGATATGATTGATTAATCTCTAGCCTGGCTGGGCATGGGGGTTCATGCCTGTAATCCCTGCACTTTGGGAGGCTGAAGCGGGCAGATCACCTGAGGTAAGGGCTTGAAGACCAGCCTGGCCAACATGGCGAAACCTCATCTCTACTAATACAAAAATTAGGTGTGGTGGTACACGCCTATAAATCCCAGCTACTTGGGAGGTTGAGGCAGGAGACTCACTGAGGCGAAGGTTTCAGTGAGCTGAGATGGCACTACTGCATTCCAGTCTGTGCAGAGCGAGACTGTCACAAAAAAAAAGAGAAAAAAAGTCCTGGGCGTGGTGGCTCATGCTTGCTATCCCAGCAATGTGGGAGGCCACGGTGGGTGGATGACTTGAGGTCAGAAGTTTGAGACCAGCTTGGCCAAAATGGTGAAGCCCCGTCTCTACTAAAAATAAAAAATTAGCCAGGCATGGTCACTGGTGCCAGTAATCCCAGCTACTCAGGAGACTCAGACTCAAGAATTGTTTGAACCTGGGAGACAGAGGTTGCGGTGAGCTGAGATTGTGCCACTGCACTCCAGCCTGGGCGACAGAGTGAAAACTCATCGCAAGAAAAAACAAAAAACAAAAACATCAGTCCTATGTGGAGGATGTGACCAACCCCCATCTTGAAACTGTCTAGGAGCCCATCAAGATTTGCCTCATTAGAACAAAATATGCCCTCATCACCCAGGAGCTTCCAAGGGATTTAAGAGCTCTGTGTCAGGTACCGGAGTCAGAGACCAAACATTAGAATTGCTCCCAGCACCCCTGTCACTCAGGAAATTGCAAGGGATGTAGGAAGTCTGTGCCAGGAACCAGGGGTGAAGTCTAAATATGTATTTATTATTTTATCACAGTATCTCAGTGTCTACATAGCAAGTTGGAGCGTTGACTACGGTATTGCTCTAAGTTGGTGTTTTAGGAAAATTTGATTTTGTTGTGCAGTTGGAAAAGGGGGGAAAGATTTTGTAACTAGGTGGTTATTGAGTATTTTGCCTCAGTGACCTTGAAAGGAAATGTTGTGCATCCTGTATTCTGATTTTCCAGTTCTAAACCTTTGTTACTAAAACCCACACTGCTTATTTGCTCGGTCAGCACAGACATAGTTTGATGTCTCTGGATGGTCTTTTCAAATTCTCTATGCATATCCCTCTCCCAAAACTCTTAAGACTCCAAGTGCATGAAGCTCTTGTCCTAGGCCCTCCTGTTTCTCTGTCTATCCTTCCTAAAGAGTCTCATCTAGTCCTACACAGTCCCAAGTATTTGAATAATGTTTATATACTTGTGACTTAAAATTGTAATCTTATGTCTAGAACTTTCTCCATACTCATAGATCTGTATACTTGATACGGTCTCTTTAATTATGTATTATTCATCTCAAGCCTTTACAGGCCTCTAAATGGAGCATGCATTCCCCCCTGCCCCAGTGGCAAACTTATGCCCCTAATCTCCCTTATTTTATTAAATGGTACCAGCACCTGTATAGGGGTTTAAGCCACATATTGGGCAGCGATCGTCAGTTCTTCCCTGTCTACTGCAACGTTTGTTGTAAGAGTGAATCTTAATCTCTTCCTCCTCCATCCTTCTGTCCTTGCTTTTTCACATTTCTCCATCTCCTTTGTAATTGTTCCTGATCAAGCCACCTGAATTCTGCCATCGCCTCCAATGTATTCTTTTCTATAATTTTATCTCTCCATTTGATCCTCCATAGAATAGTAGTGTTGGGACTGTCAATTCGGAACGTTTTCTTGGCAAAAAGTGTTTGGTGGCTTACTGCCATTGTTCTTAGCATAAATTCCAGTTTCTAACAAAGTCTTCCTACAAAATCTCTGTGTTGTTAATTCTGCCAGCCCTGCCAAACTTTTGTATTTCTACTTCATTCAAACTCAGGATATTCCAAGCATACCAGCTTCTCTTACCTTTTTTTGTTTTTTGAGACGGAGTTTCGCTCTTGTTACCCAGGCTGGAGTGCAATGGCGCGATCTCGGCTCACCGCAACCTCCGCCTCCTGGGTTCAAGCAGTTCTCCTGCCTCAGCCTCCTGAGTAGCTGGGATTACAGGCACGCACCACCATGCCCAGCTAACTTTTTGTATTTTTAGCAGAGACGGGGTTTCACCATGTTGACCAGGATGGTCTCTTGACCTTGTGATCCACCCGCCTCGGCCTCCCAAAGTGCTGGGATTACAGGCTTGAGCCACTGCGCCCGGCCCTCTCACATTTTTTTGGATGACACCTAAGTTTTTTCTGCCTCTGGGTTTTCACACTGGCTGTTCCCTTTTCTTGGAATGTTCTTTATTTTGTTCTTTGCATAACATTGCTCGTTCTTACCCTATGATGTGAGCTACTTCCTTTGTACAGTTCTTCACATTCTGTAATTTTCCTGCTTCTCTGCATACCTGTCGATTCTCTGTTTTTACCTAATGACAGGTTCATGGAGACAGAGACTATATTATTAGTCACTGTAGTATCCCAAGTACCTGTCCATTCAGTGTTTGTTGGGTGAATACATCCATCTCCTCCATCTGTTTTTGATTTGTTCCAGTTGCAGTGTGTTTCTGTTTCTACTTCCGTCTCCATTTGCAAGGTCCTTTTTGGGAGGCAGCCCAAGTTGTATTTACTCGTTATGGAGTACCCATTGTTGTTGCCAAAGTTGCTGTGTTTTCTTTTTGTTGTTTTATAGTATCATCCTTTTTCACAGAGTGTGAGGTACATTACTCTGAGACTGTGATCTTACAAAAGCCAGCCGAAACCATGGTATTTTTGCGCCTTCTGCCACCTCCACAAAAAATTATCATGGGTTCTGTTCTTTTTCCTAGAAGAAATATAAGGGATTGACCATATGCAGTGGTACCCAGAAAACCAAAATGAGCTTAAAAATTTAGAAAGATGTCAGCAAAGTTCTGCCCTTGGAAATAAGTTTGGTTTATATAAGAGTAGTGTTCCTTTAATATAAAGACACAATAAGTTTGGCTCACATTGTAAATGTTTGCAATCTCATTTAGGTTTTGTTATCCAGAATACAAGATATGCAGGAAAAGATTCTGATGCATTTGGTGGATATGGGAAATCACGCCTCCATATCAAGCATGACAAAACCCTTACTGGAATTAAATACCATAGATGTGTTAAACCCAGTAGCACTAAATCACAGCTCAGTGACCATCAAAAAATGTATGCAGGAGAGAAACCACATGAATGCAGTGTGTGCGGGAGAGGCTTCTCCAGGAAAGCACAGCTTCTTCAACATCAGAGAACTGAGAGAGGAGAGAAACCCCATGGATGTGGTGAATGTGGGAAAACATTTATGAGGAAGATTCAGCTCACTGAGCATCAGAGAACTCACACGGGAGAGAAACCCCATGAATGTAGTGAATGTGGAAAAGCCTTCTCCAGAAAGTCACAGCTCATGGTCCATCAGAAAACTCATACAGGAGAGAAACCCTACAGATGCAGTGAATGCGGAAAAGCCTTCAGCCGGAAGTGCCTGCTCAGTAGACATCAGCGATCCCATACTGGAGAGAAACTCTATGGGTGCAGTGTGTGCGGGAAAGCCTTTTCCCAGAAGGCATACCTCATTGCACACCAGAGACTTCACACAGGAGAGAAGCCTTATGAATGCAGTGATTGTGGAAGAACTTTCTATTTTAAGTCAGACCTGACCAGACATCAGCGGATTCATACAGGAGAGAAACCTTATGAATGTAGTGAGTGTGAAAAAGCCTTTAGAAGCAAGTCGAAGCTCATTCAGCATCAGCGTACTCACACTGGAGAGAGACCATATTCATGCAGCGAGTGTGGCAAAGCCTTTGCCCACATGTCAGTCCTCATTAAACATCAGAAAACTCACATAAGAGAGAAAGCCATAAATTCACCGAAGGTGGAGAAACTTTCCTCCAAGAGTCATGCCTCCTTATACATGAGTGAACTCATGCAGGAGCAAAACACTGTGAACACAGTACCTATAGAAATGCCTTCGTCAAGAACCCCTCCATTGTTAAACATTAGTGAGCTCCTAGTGGGTAGAAATGTAGTGATTGTGGAACCACCTTTTCCAAGAAATCAAGCCTTTGTCGTGAATCAGGAATTCGAACGGGGAATAAGCCTTGCAAATGAAGTAAATGTGGCCCCGTCAATAATAAATTATATCTTATATCTTACAGATACTGTATAAGAATAAATCTTCTGATACCAGAAAGGTGGGAAAATCTTTAGCAGGAATCCTCCAACCATTATATGCCAGATAGCTCATTTAGGGCTGAAATTATGGAGACACTGGTGGTGGAGGACATTTCTGTGAGAAGCTAAACCTGTTAAACACGATTGAAATCATGTTGGATAGAAATGCAGGTGTTATGAGGAAGCCCTTACCTGGAGATGGTATCTCAATTGGTATCAAAAGAATTCTTACAGGAATGTTTATGAAAGATTGTGATGGTATTTTTAGTGCTAAATTGTGCCTCGTGTGTCAAAGATAACAGACAACTTTAGAGGCAATGGAGATGGAAAACATTTTTAGTAAATTTTTTATGGGAGAATTTATAGAAAAAAAGTCTTGAAAGTGAGAAATGATGGAAACTCACCAAATTAACTCATGTATCACACTTTTATGCCTTGAGAGTCTTGGAGGGACATGTTTAATAAATGACATCTTGAGCCCCAGGAATAGTAGTATGTAACGAAAACCTATGAATGTAACAAATATGGAAGTAAAACTGTTAAGTTTCTTATGGTTGCTGCACCAAGCAAACACAGATTTGATGGCTTAAAATGACGCAAAATCATTATCCTACAGGTCTGGAGGTCTGGAGTCTAAATGCATCTCACAGGGCTAAATCAAGCTGTTGACAGGGCTACTTTTCTTTTCGGAGACTCTAGGGGAACGTCTTTCCTTGTCCTTCAAGCTTCTACAAGCTGCCCAATTCTGTGGTTTGGGGCCTCCTTTCAAAACCAGCAGTGACCAGTCAGTCTTACATCACTCTTAACACTTGAGTGTTCTGTCTCCCTCTTCCATGTTTCAGAATCCTTGTGACTACATTGGGAAAATTCAGATAAACCAGGATAATCTCCCTATCTTAATAATTATGATCCAAGTATGTTAAAATTTTTATTGTATAATCAGAGAATCTTATGATTGTTACATGTGAACATTGTAGATGCTCTTGAAATGTTAAAGTCACATCAGCACTGGAAAATAACTCCTACATGTCCAAAAAGAACATGTGATTTATGATGCTTGAAATGTTGTCAAGCATAAATTTGTATCTATTCTGAAATCATATAAATTAATTTTATATAATTTCAGGCCAGGCACAGTTGCTCACACCTGTAATTTCAGCACTTTGGGAGGCCAAGGCAGGAAGATCACTTGAGCCCAGGAGTTTGAGACCACCCTGGGCAATGTAGCAAGACTATATCTCTACCAAATAAATAAATAAATAATAGCTAGACGTAGTGGTATGTGCTTATCGTCCCAGCTACTTGGGAGGCTGAGGCAAGAGGATTGCCTGAGCCCAGGAGTTCTGGGCTGCATTGAGCAATGATCATGCCACTTGCAATCCAGCCTGGGTGACAGAATAAGCCTCTTTCTAAGAAAGAAAAAAAAAGCTAACATACTTTATTATGAGTATGGAATACATATGACATAATGAACCTGGATACTGACTAATCTTTTTCATAGTCAACTCCAACAATCCCTTTTTCTTTAGCGATAAATGTCTAATGTATGTAATCTCCTGCCTTAAATATCTAAAAAAGATACACAATATTATGAGTGAACTTCATCAGACATTGAGTAAAGGACTCAGGACGGCTTTCCATGAGAGAAAGGAAGCAATGAAATGAGCCTTATGATTGCTCCAGCTTAGTGCCTGGAGAATGTTTCCAGTCTGCGGCATTGAGGGGAGAAACCCAAGCAGATCCCAGCCATCTTTCAGAATTGAGACAGTTTTGGATTTGAGGAATTCAAGGTAGCCCAAATTTGTGAGTTGGATTACTGGGGAAGAGCTGCACTCAGAATTGAGAGTTCCATAGTTTCCCCCACAAGCCTTTGAGTCATAAGCAGCACATGTATGTGAGGAAACCGCCCCCCCCACCCCGTCCCCAGGTTGGAGGAAGAACTATAGGAAATGAACAGGCAGAAAAATCCTTGGATGCTTCACAAGGTTTGGAGTAATCGGCATTTCCACCAGCTGGAATGGAAATGCCTCCTAACATTTGGAGAATCATAGTGGACCTTAAGAGGAGTATTGCTTCTATGGGTGGCTCAGATTTGCTCTATATTAAAGGCTGCCTTGAACCCTCCTCACAAAACATACATACAAGCTACGAAAAGGCCAAACTTTCCAGGTTTTTAGCAGTTTTCCAGAGACTAATACAAAGCCATCTGTCAGTAATTGGCCATGTCTGGCATCCAATCAAAAAACTTACCCAGGTGTGCAAAGAAGCAGGAAAATACAACCACGTAACGTGAAGAAAACTCAAAGAGACCCAGAAGTGACACACTGATAGAGTTACCAGTAAAGGATGTTGGAAACAGATGCTATAAATGTCCCATATGTTCAAGAGGGCTGAGTAAAGTAGATTATAAAAGTTATAATTTATAGAGGGTTTCCCTCCACCTGAACAAGGGAGAGATGAAGCTTGGTCTAGTTCCTGGAGTCAATGCCCCGAGGTGGTTCAGCCTCCCAGGGAGGGACCAGAAGGAGGCAATTGGGACCAGGTTCCCTGAGGGAGAAGTAAGCACTGCTGAATTTGTGGAGTGTCATTTACCCTGTGTTTAGCCTCTCTGCCTTTTCTGGGAACTGAGACTTCTGAGCAGGGCTGCTGACCTTCCTGGGAAGTGTAATTTGGGCATGGGCAGTGCCTAAGACACCTGTGCTGGGCTGTTGAGGTTTCTGGGAAGTACAGTTAGGAGGCCTAACAACTCTTATTCTAGTTAGCGGCCGGTACGTCTTGACCGTTTAGCCCTGGTAGTGGTTTCTGGCACACATCTGCCTTCGGCCATTTTTCTCCATGTGAGTGAATTCTATCTGGGTGTTCAAGACAGTGGAAGAGGTAACAAAACCTTAGCCAGTGCTTGCTGGGGCTTCTGTAGGCAGCATTATGAGGCAATTGGCTTGGGCATATCAGTTCTGAGCTCCTGTGGCAGTTCTGCTTTGGCTGGGGCAGACTTTGGTAGGTCAGACTCAGTCAGTTCTTGGTGAGTCTGCCCTGCTGTGTGGCTGAGGTGGGAAGCAGCCCTACAGACCTGTTTGTTCTTGTTCTTCTTGCCCTCATGGGCCAGATGGATCCCATGTTGGAGGCTGGGGAGGGGACTCGGGGCATGGGTCTTACTTAACCTTACTTTGCTGACTTTCTCCTTTTACACCCCAGATGAAACGTTTTTAGGTGTGTAGGTGTCTGTGTGTGCTACGGGATGTCCAGAACTGGTCTATTAACAACTGCGTCAGTGTGAACAGAAAGCTTTTAGAGCAGTGTCTACAGTGCAGTGCTTTGAGGACAAAGAAACTTTTCAACTTCTAAGTGGGAAGATGATTTATGTATACAGAAATTTGACACATTTAAAAACCTAGCAACTCCTGGTACACAGATTTACAGATTCCACCCACTTTGTCTTGATTCCCAGTTTAGAACTTAGGTCTGTAGATTCTAGAACCTTCCAGAAGTCCATTGTCAGTTCTCCCACCAGAAGTTGTCTGGCTCTGATCCCATGCAAGGGAGAAGATAATCCAGGTTCGCATTGCCTTTTTCTTTATGTATATTTAGGGGTGGAGGTAGAGGACTGGAAATTCCCGATTGGTCCTGATTAGTCTGACCTTTGAGGGCTTTTTCAGCCTTAGCTTTGTGCTTTTAAAAAGGTGTCCTTCATTAAGAGAGGGAAATTTAGTCATTGTCACAATTCTAATAGCTGAGCCCTTCTCTGAAATGTCTCCTTTACTCTTGGTAAGAGATCTTTGCAAAAAGGTTCAGAATCAGAAAAGACAACAGCTAGATCATACCTTAGAAATGACAGCTTTTTCCTAAGAACAGAAGAAAATGATAAAAGCCAAGGGGAGATTTTGTTTCTTACTTTTGCCTTTCTCTCCAATGGATTTGCAAGGCCTAATACAAATCACTATTATAGGAAAATACACACATTTCTAGTTTAAAAATTTAGGGAAAACCAAGCAGAAACCATAAAATCAAGGTTCAGACAAAGGTAGAATGAGGAAATGTAGCTTCATGCAAAGTGCACTAAGTTTGAATACAGGTGAATAAATATGTAAGACGGAAGGAAGGTATGATGTACTTAAGTTGTTTGATACTTTTTTTTTTTCTTGAGACAGAATCTCTCTCTGTTATCTAGGTTGGAGTTCAGTGGCACAATCTTGGCTCACTGCAACCTGTGCCTCTTGGGTTCAAGTGATTCTCTTGCCTCAGCCGCCTGAGTAGCTGGGATCAAGGTATGTACCACCACACCTGGCTAAGTTTTGTATTTTTAGTAGAGATGCGGTTTCACCATGTTGGCCAGGTTGGTCTCAAACTCCTGACCTCAGGTGATTTGCCCACCTCAGCCTCTCAAAGTGCTGGGATTATAGGCTTGAACCACCATGCCTGGCTTGTTTTTGATGTTTCTGGTGTCAATAATGTATTAATTTTCTGTTGATGCCAAAACAGAGTCTCACAAATATTTAGCAGCTTGAAACAACACATTTACTATCTTAACGGTTCTTTAGATCAGCCTGGGTGACACAGTAAGACCCTGCCCCTATTCCAGTACTATTTTTGCTTGCTTCATAAGTGACTAGAAAATAAATAATTTATTGTGTATTCTCAAAAAGCTAGAAGAGAGGATTTTGAATGTTCACCACACAAAGAAATGATAAATGTTTTAGGTGATGGATATGCTAATTATGCTGATTTGACTATTATACATTGTATACATGTATCAACATATCACTGTGTTTCCCTTAAATATGTGCAATTATGACATGTGAACTAAAACCAGGAGAATATACTGCATCCCTAACTGTTAATCTAAACCATCATCAGCCCTGACTGCTTCCCAAAATTACAGCTTCGTAAAACCAAGTCAACTTTTTGGAATTTCTGTGGACACAAACAGTAGGCATGACAAACTAAACATTATGAAGACAGTATCTCCAATTCTCCTATTCCCTGACCTGCCCCTTCCTTCGTTTTCTTTCCTTTAGGAATCAGAGCCATTGTCCTCTCAATTGATGAAACGCCAAGTCTAAAATTTATTATTGATTTTTCTCTCATTTGGTAACCAGAATCCAAGTGCTGCTGAATTTATGTGCCCCAAGAATCACCTCCAGTGATGCCATGCACATACAGTCCCATGCCATCTCTTGCCTAGATGCCTGAACTAGCTTTCACAGATAACTCTCTCTCCATGAACAGAAGAAAAAATGGCTTCTTAAAACACAGTCAACAGAGCTACTTCTAACAGTGATGGCAAAAAAGAGACCAGATTCATGCTCTTACCTTAACTGAAAATCTAGGAAAACGGGAAAGAATGGTTTCCTGACACTGGACAACGGATAGTACAGCATTGCAGTCTCCAAAAAGGGGAAATAAATAAGATGATCCAGCCGGGTGCAGTGGCTCAATCCCAGCACTTTGGGAGGCCGAGGCGGGTGGATCACGAGGTCAAAAGATCGAGACCATCCTGGTCAACATGGTGAAACCCTGTCTCTACTAAAAATACAAAAAATTAGCTGGGCATGGTGGCGTGTGCCTGTAATCCCAGCTACTCAGGAGGCTGAGGCAGGAGAATTGCCTGAACCCAGGAGGCGGAGGTTGTGGTGAGCCGAGATCACGCCATTGCACTCCAGCCTGGGTAATGAGTGAAACTCTGTTTGAAAAAAAAAAAACAAAAAACAAGATGATCCCCGTGATTGCTCTGCTTACTGACTTGAGAGAGTTTGCAGGCCACAGTGCACTAGGGGAAACACAAGTAGAGCCCAGTAGATTCTTTGAAATGAGAACATAAAGTTGGGAGTTGGGAAGAACAAGGCAGATAGAGTTCAAAGGTTAGTACTGAATAAGAGAGTACTGCAGACAGAATATAATTAAGACATCAATTCTTCCTCAAGCAAATCCATAAATTCAAGGTGATTCAAATTAAAAAAAATTAACAACCTAATTCTAAAAATTTACGTGGAAAGGCAAAGTAACTAAAATAGCCAAACTACTTATGAAAAGGAACAACATTGCAGTACTCATGCCTCTGAATATCAAGACGTAATCCCAGCACTTTGGGAGGCCGAGGCGGGTGGATCACGAGGTCGAGAGATCGAGACCAACTTGGTCAACATGGTGAAACCCCGTCTCTACTAAAAATACAAAAAATTAGCTGGGCATGGTGGTGCGTGCCTATAATCCCAGCTACTCAGGAGGCTGAGGCAGGAGAATTGCC